ACAAAATATATTGTGAATTTTTTTTTTTTTTTTTTTTTTTGGTTGATCTCAGTTCCATATACAAAATATATTGTGAATATAGACTTAAAAATTTTGATTCAAATACTTAGCTCTGTTGTAGAAAGGAGCCTAAATTGGTATAGCATTAAGGAGGAACACATGAGAATAAGAAAAAAAATTACCAATAAGGAGATAGAAAAATGTAGGGAGAGAGCTAACCTAGCCTTTCTTTTTTATATATTTTAGAGAAAATGGTTAGATTCAATACAAAATTTGGTCATATATAGAGTAGGGTACAATGAATAATGCCACAATAATAATAATAATAATAGTCATAGGTGATCAAAAGGTTAATTGTATTTAACAGAAAACTTAATAAAATGATTTTTTTACTATTTACTTCAACAAACTCAAATTGTAAGGAAGTAATTTTTGAAAATAGCAGCATCTCATTCTGATACAAGACTTCGATACATTACAACTTTCAAATATTAATAGTGAGCTTCTGTTTATTCAAGGGCATTTGGTCTAGTGGCATGATTCTCGCTTAGGGTGCGAGAGGTCCCGAGTTCAATTCTCGGAATGCCCCAATTTGAGATTTTTTTAACACTTCTGTCGTCCTCCTTTTGGCCTTTGAAACTACAAAAACCAATTTCAAATTATTTTCTATCGAACTTGCTAGCTTCGTTTGTTAGTGATCAACATTTCGATTTCGATTTCTTTTCAGAAGAAAGAAAAACAAATTTTCATTTATGCTCTATTTATTTTCGGACAATTACTTATTTGCTCAAAACTAAATCATTTTAAAGAATATAATTTCTCATTTTTAAATGGAGAAAATATTTTTTAAATATTGACAATTATAAATAATTTTTTAAAAAAATTTGAACTTGAATTAAATTAGAAATAAAGTTGGTGAGCATTAAAAACAAATAGTAATATACTATGCGAAAGCCAAAATTAATTAGTTTTATTTAAAATATGTAATTAGACGAATCAAATTAAATTGAATAGAATCGATTCACTAGTTCAATCTCCACTTTTAGTTCATTTTTCTGAACCATCGGTTCCAAACTAATTTTTGTTCACTAAATTAAATAAAAGCTTGATTTTTCATTCAATTATAATTCGAAATAAAATTGTGATCATGCTGACTAGCTACCTCAATAAGTCATTGATGTGGATTATATGAAAATTTATCATTTTAATTTAGTTTTATCATATTTAATAATAAAATTTTAAAATATGAAATTTGTATAATTCTAAATATTTTTACAGTATTATAAATTAAAATTTTTAATATTTCGGATCAAACAACAAAAAAATAAGTAATTCGAAAAATCCTAAAAAAATAATTTTTTTTTAACAAAAAAAGTTATTGTCCTTGCCTTACTTTTGTTAAAATTATCTTAGAATTTGTTTTATACTTAAACTCCAAAAATCTCGTGTAAACATTATTTGTTTTGAAAGTTGAGGAAAGTACATTATGAGCTGGTGGGTTCATTAACTATATAGAGCAGGTAGCAGCCTCTTCTAGAAGGAGTTTGCCCATACCCAGCAGGACTTGTTATTAACATCTAATTCCTCGAACCCAAGAAAAAAAAAAAAACTAAGTTGTACAGTACTTCTAGAAAGCTTGCCTCTCAAGTTCGACTCGGATTTATCCCTACTCTTACGGGTCCTAGCCCGATGCATAAATTAAAATAATAATAAAATAATCATTCCCTCTGGAAGCCTGACTTTGTCATTGTCTTCTCTCCTTTTATATGCCATGGTTTTACACATTTCTACCTATCACCTTCTCCTTTTTGTTCATTTCCTCTTCATTTCTCAATTCTCTACTTTAATACTCGCACAAACAGAAAATGGAAAACAGTACCATTAATGAAGGATTTGAAGATGCTCTTTCCTTTTGCGATCTGTCCTTTGAAGATGAAGAAACTGAAATCAATAAGAATAATGTTGGATTTGATCGTCAAAACTCGCTTTCAGACCGGGAATTTTTTGAATTCTCTACGTCTTCAAGCTTATCTTCGTCAGATTCAAATTCTGTAATGTCAGATAATATTATTTTCTGTGGAAAAATCATTTCCTCTAAAACAGATCAAGGACAAGACTCACTTGCTTCATCAGCCAAAAACAAGCTGCCTGTTCCGCCTCCAGCAAGGAGTCTCCGGTGTCCGTCAACCAGCGGCAGTTCCAGGAAACAAAAAGTTATGATTGGACTAGCGAAAATTCCATCGAAAATGGACCTTAGTGACTTGAGGGAAAGGCAGAATCGGCGGACACCGCCTCCTATGTTCCCGGCGTCGACGGTGGTTGGTGGTGGAGAATCGGTGGATGTTATCGGTAATGGAAGTAGAAGGAAGAGTAATTGGAGCTTGCTTAGATCTTTCAGATTTAAAACCAATGGCTTCGGCAGCTTGTTGCCTAAACCATGTTTTGGTTCCATTTTGCTAGCGAGGACTTGCATCGACTGAGATTGGATTTTGTTTTAATTTTTTTTTTAACAATTTTTTACTGTACATGCGGCGAATATTATTTTACCTAACGAATTTGAGATGAAAGCATTAAAATATTTAATAAAAACACCATTAAACTATAAAAACATGAGTAATATTTTGTATTTTAATACTATTTTTTCAGAGAGGAAAATATATATATATATATATATATATTTTAGAGAGAAAATATATATATATATATATATATATATATTTTGATAGAAAGGAGGGGAAGCAACCTCAAGAAGAACAATAAAAAGAACTAGTTACAATGAAGAACTCCAGGCCAAGCTACATGCTGGCAATCCCATGATCACAGCTGAAAAATAACCTGTAAAGAATGATCTAAAAAATGGCAGCCAAATAGCCAAAAACCGCAACATTGGCAAACTTGTAATCTATGGACAGATGATAAACAGAACTATTTGTAATTTCTATTTCAAATTTTCTTAATCATAAATGTAACACATCACTTAACCAAACAATAAATAAGAGAAGTTCAATAAACAAGAGAAGTTCAAATTAGTTAAAAAGTAAAACAGGGCATTGTATTGCTAATGTTTAGTCTACCTCCTTCCTCAAGTTCTTTGTTTTTAAGAAAAAACAAAAAAACAAACACCATCAAGCAAGAAGCAAGCAAACTGATTTCAGCAGTCCTATCACCATATTGGCATCACATTGATGCATAAGGTGCAAACATAGAAAATAAAACAATAACATTACCCAATGATATTTGACATTCCTAAATATATTCTTTCAATATCTATACTTCCACCACAGTCACTATACATATTCAGGTTCATTTATGATAATCAGTCTTGGGAGTAAGAGACAGCTAAACTTTACAATTTAGCATTATGTAAGAGTAACACTAAAATCTTATAATTGTTATTATATGCTTAATTAAAACCACGTAGTTTTTAGTGTCAGTTTTTTTTTTTTTTTTTTTTTTTTTTTTAGTTTTTTTTTTTTTTTTTTTTTTTTTTGAAAGGAAAACACTATTTTTATTAAGCTGGTAATAAATAAATAATAAGCATCGTAGCAAATCTTATTCCTAGACATAAAACTTTTTTTTTTTTTTTTTTTTTTTTTTTTTGAAAGGAAACATCATTTTTATTAAGCTGAGTAATAAATAAATAATAAGCATGTAGCAATCTTATTCTAGACATAAAACATAAAATAATTATAAAAAACTTTAGCTAACGAGTGAGCTCCTATTCAATCTAATAGAAACATTAGATCTTTGCCTTAATAGCATTCTACAAACACTAATAACTATTCCTAACTCTGAGAAATCCAAATCCCATGATTGAATAAGGGAAATTATATACTTTGTGATCAGTAAAATGCACTCCAGAGTTAAAACATTATTTTGTAGCCGTAGGAGACATTGCTTCATTGCAAGTGCCTCGACAAAAAGAGGGTCTGAATATTATTCAAAAAATCCAGAAAGTGCCGGTAAGAAATCACCCTCTTCATTTTCAAATATAATTCCATAGCCTCGACAATGCAACTCCAAGAAAATTGCACCGTCCGTAAAGGCTTGCTAGCTGGTTCCACCTTGCGATGCTAAGTCCAGCTGGATAGGAGCCTTTCGATTAATTTGTTTTGATTAACTTTTAACTCTACCTTTAACGGATAATCGATCCAATTTTCCTTAACTGAATCATTGCTCACCAAATTGAATTGACTAAATTAATTGAACCCAATGCTTACATTAAATAATTGTGTAATGAAAACAAAAGATAAAAAAAAAACTCTATTTGTTCTCTTAAAATAACTTGTTTGGAAAATATTTTTCAGATTTTTCCGATATTTGGAGTGCTTAGAAGAATCAGTTAATGAAAAATATTTTACTAATTAAAGGAAAATTAAGTCATTTTTTTAAAGAAAATGACTTCCAATTTTCAAGAGAGGAAAATATTTATGGATATTGATAAATTTAATATAAAATTTTTTAAAAATATATATTTTTTGATATATTAATCACCAGTAGCCACCACTACGGCCACTGGTCGCTACCGTCTGCCACCAGAATCGATTACTAATGATTATCACAATTTATTTTTTTTATATTTAATAATAAATTTTTAAAATATAAAATTTCTATAATTGTAAATATTTTTATGGTTTTATTATAAAATAAAAGTTTTAATATTTTTAAATAGTTTTTTACATTTCAATCAGACAACGGAAAATGAGTTATTTAGAAAATATTTTAAAGAAAAATATCTAAAAATGAAATTATTTGATCTATATGGAAAACATATTATATATTAAATGTTATATGTATAATAATTAATTAAAATTTAATTTTTTGTAAATTTTTTTATATAGATCTTTTCTGGTTCAAATCATGTAAAAATGTCATTGACATAAATTTACGAAGTGTATTTCTAAAAATAGAGTAGCAAAGTTATGTATTTTAACGAAGTATAAGGATAAAATAATAATTTTATTTTTAATCACGCAATTGACCAAAACAGTGTCGTTTCAATCGTTCGTCCTACTCACTCCCTCCCTCCCTCCCTCCCTTCAAACAGCCTATTTTCCTTCTCCTCCCCACTGTCGACAACGACGGTTGCTCCACTAAGGCGTCACCGATAGAACACTGTAACGCTGGTGGCTACCCCCTCTTCCTTGCCAACAACCGCAACAGTTTTCTATTTTGCCATAATTGGAGAGTTAATAATGATTTATGCAGCAATTGATAATTTCTACCTGACCGACGAGCAATTACAAAACTCACCGTCGAGGAAAGATGGTATCGATGAAGCCAATGAAACTATCCTCAGAATCTACGGCTGTGACTTGATCCAAGAAAGTGGCATTTTACTTAAATTGTAATCATCTTCTTTTTCTCTCTTGTTTAGTTTAATTTCATGGTATACAATATCATGTTCTATATGAATTATATACAATTTCTTTCTTTTTTTTAAAATTTTTTAATAGACCCCAAGCTGTTATGGCTACTGGTCAAGTGCTATTCCATCGTTTCTATTGCAGGAAGTCATTTGCTCGATTCAATGTCAAGGTTAATCCTTTTCTTCCCTTCTTAATGAGATAATTATTATTGGGATTAGTTAGTTCTTTTGGGTTGTGGGTTTTAGTTCCATTTTATGAATTTTTTTAGAATTTATTATTGTTTGTAGTGGTAAATAGTGGAAGTTGTTTAAAAATTGGTTTCAATGCTTTCATCTAACATTTTATTAGGTTTAAATACTATATTTTTCAGAAAGTTGCAGCTAGTTGTGTGTGGCTTGCATCTAAATTAGAGGAAAACCCTAGAAAATCAAGGCAAGTCATTATTGTTTTCCACAGAATGGAATGCAGGAGAGAGAATTTGCCCATGGTGTTTTTGGACCTAACTTCAAAGGTTAGAATTGTGATGTTTTATTCTTTCTTTTGATTCTAGCTAGTAGTTTTGGTGCTCCTAGAGCTTTGTGCGCTCCACTTACCATTTTTTTTCTATGAAAAAATTAAAAAGAAATTTGCGGAGTTGAAGATGGAATTGAGCAGAACAGAAAGGCACATATTGAAAGAGATGGGTTTCATTTGTCATGTTGAGCATCCTCACAAATTTATTTCAAACTACCTTGTCACCCTTGAACTGCCTGAAGATTCGAAACAAGAGTTGGGACAGGAAGCTTGGAATCTTGCAAATGATAGGTACTTCACACAAAATAATTGCTTTTAATTTTATCTTCCTAAAGTTCTTCTGGCAGTTCTTTGTGTTTGGTTTTTCCGTTGAGAATGATAAATTTTATATGCTGTATTGTGTTAATGTTCATCAGTTTGGGAATTAAGAATCACAAAATTTAGAAAGTTGGAACCTAAACAATGTTAAAAGAAATAAAATGAACATGTCATCATTTATTTAGTTAATCTTTAGAGTCAAGTTTGGCCCTATGCCTAGTAGATTTACAGCGGAGGCTATATTTTTTCCAAGAAGATTGATAGGAGTTTATTGGGAGAGAAAGAAGGATTCACACATTGTGTTCATTGACCTAGAGAAAGCATATGATAGTGTGCCAAGAAAAGTTTTTTGGTGGGTGTTGTGTCTTATATGTAACCAACCAAGCTGTCCGCTTCTATTTGTAGTCAAAGTTTTCCCCATCCTCTCAAACTATCAAAAAGAAATCTCGTGTTATTAGAAATTTACTCGGTGCTCTTCTTAATGTTTAATTTAACTGAAATAAATTCTCAACTCTCTATTTGGAGCAGTTTGCGCATGACCTTGTGTGTTCGTTTCAAGAGTGAGGTCGTGGCTTGTGGGGTTGTATATGCTGCTGCACGTAGGTTTCAAGTACCACTTCCTGAGAATCCACCATGGTGGAAGGCATTTGATGCAGATAAATCTGGGATTAATGAAGTTTGTAGGGTTCTAGCTCATCTTTACAGCCTTCCCAAGGCAAAGTACATATCAGTATGCAAGGATCAAGAATTTTCTTTTTCTCGCAAGTCTTCAGATTCTCAATTGCAGCCAGTTCCAAAGGTGGGTTTATTATTTTTTCTGTAAATTGTGTCTTACAATCTCTTTTATTTCTGGTTCTATACTGTATTGTTTGGTTTTACAATATTTGGTTTTGTTATCCCATCATAAAAGGAAGCAAGTTGCACAATGATATGTAGATGAAGCATTGTGATAAGAAGAAGATGAAAACTAAAACATTGTGGAGATTTGATAAAAAGCAATAAAGAAAATAGAAGATATGTTTTCTATATCATATACTTATAGTACTACAAATTGAAAAGATTTTCTTAGGAGTTTCTTTCTGTTACTGTTCTTCAGGAAGTTCCACAAGTTAGCTCACCGACTAATGATGCTATTGGTCCCAAGTCAGGCCCAACTCTGACTGGTGCAGAATCAGGGGCTTCCAAGAGATTAATAAAAGTGGCCCTAGACAAGCTGAATGAATCTAAGAAGAGTCATGATGAGTCCAGGCCAACTGGTGGAGAGGCAAGAGATGAGCCCATTCCAATATCCAAGTCTGAGCATAGAGCAGAGGCAATAAGGAACAGGAGCAAGGACAGAGACAAGGATAAAGATAGGGAGACAGAGAGGGACAGAATAAAGGAGAGGGATAGAGATTCTGACAGGAAAAGCGAGTGGGAGGAGACTGAGAGGTACCGAGATAAAGCTAAGGATCAAAGTCATCGATCAAATGATAGAGGAGGTCAGTTGCTCAGTTTCTTGAGTTGGTTAACCTAGTCCCGAAGCACATACTTTGTAACAGTAATTTCATAGTTGGAAATTACTTTAATCTTGCATGTGTTTCCAACATATAAATGCAGGACATTCGGAGAAATCAAGATATCATTCATCACGCGGTAATGGATACAAATTTTCTTTCAGCAGATATGATCTATCTATCTATCTATCTCTCTATATATATAGATATATATTTCTCTGCATTTTCAGACTGTGACTACCACAGTTCCTCATATTCTTCAAGGGAGAAGGATCGGCATAGACATCACTCATATGCTTAAACCAGCCATTGAGGTGTGCATTCTTACTTCAATACATAGCCATTATCTGAAATACTCTATTTATATATTATGTGGTTTTCATTACATGTTTAGAATGCAGGAAAGGGATTTAAATTTGGATGCAAAATTTTAAATTTGAAATCAATTTTTATAGTTCATTTGAAGAGAGATTTTTGCCTTTTTGCAATTGTGTGCAAAGTTCCTTTCTACTCATTCCCTTAACACTAATAATCATCTGCCAATTGCACAGTTGTGTTAATGATGATGTATTCTCTATTTATGCTAATCACAAGAGTTGTCTATTTTTAAACATGTTAGCAGAGTGCAAATCTTGTGGGTGAATTGCACCATCTGTGCAAATGCATTATTGCAAGTTCATTGATTGATTTTTTAAAACCACTCACAGAATGGTAGTGACTAGGAAGGAGAAAATTAACCAGGTCTTGAAACACATGCAATATAGGATTTTACAACTTGATTTGCAGATGATCCCTCAGGCGGAGCCTGCTATTATCCCGTAAAAAAGGTGTGGCCTTTAGAATTATCAGACACAAATTTTCTACTAAAAGCAATTAGTTTTCTTATGATTCTGCCTTAATGTTGTTTTCAGTTAGATTTTTCTAACTTTTTGTTTTATACTAGAGAGTCAATTAGTCTTAGGCTGCCCGGCAAAGGATCACTATTGTCTGTCCTATTTATTCCTTTTTCTCAAATGGTTTATGAACTTACTAGACATTTCACATAGAATTTCCAAAGCTATTACTGATTGCTTTTAACATTAATTTTACAGCAGTTTAGGGTTGAGGCCATGGGACTCTAAGCTCAGTTTTCATTCCCGGTGAACATAGGTATGTAGCTATTATACTTCAGATTTTGAATCAACTTGGTTCAGTTCAGTTATATAAGCTAATTGGTCAGGTTTCGGTTTATATTTTGAAAAAATAATTCTTTTATTTTTTTTTTCCAGTTTGACTGGTTTGGTTCACTTTTAAACCAAACCACCTGTATGCACTTCCCTAATTATTTGTAGTAAAAAATTTCAATTAATTAGAAATATATTATCCATTTTAAAGTGTATTTCATATGAATAAATTGGTGTATGATGACCTTGAATGTGTTGGGTTAAAAGACATTCTAATCCAACAGATTGAATTCCCTGGATCATTGTCACTCCATATGGGAGTCAAACAAGTGTTGTCATATATTATAACTGCATCTTTTTTTTTTTTTTTTTTTTTTTTTTTTTTTTTTTTTTTTTTTGCTCCAAGAAAGTATCTATTCCATTGATTCTTCATTTGTAAATTATATTTTACACATAGTGAGAAGTGGGAGAGACTCTTAAACTGATCAGAATTTTATCTGGAACAATACGTTATATCGTTGAAAATATAAAAGATAATGCACATGAAAGTTGTTTGGGCCAGGGATTCTCGATTATACTCTTCCAGTTTCTATTTATAATTTTTTAATACGATCACATGAAGTTTAAAACTCATAAATGAAAATTATTTAAAACTTTTTTTTTTTTTTTTTTTTTTTTTGGCTCAAGAAAGTATCTATCTTGATTCTTCATTGTAAATTATATTTTACACATAGTGAGAGTGGGGAGACTCTAAACTATCAAGAATTTTATCTGGAAATTTCACGTTTGATTCATGTTGAAAATATAAAAGATAATGGAATGAAGTTGTTGGGCAGATTCTGATATCTCCAGTTTATTTTATAATTTTTTAATACGATCAATGAAGTTTAAAACTCATAAATGAAAATTATTTAAACAAAATCTTATAAGAAAATGAATGATTTTTTTTTAAAAAAAATTCCATGATTTGAAATTATAACAAAAATTTTATAGATTACACTCAATTTATATGTACATGTGTCAGAAAATAATTCACATATGATGTAAATATGAACATGCACTCATATGTTCATATCCCTCATAGTTACTTTTAACTGTAAATTTTTTGGTATTAAATACAAGTATCTCAGTAATTCATTGGTGAGGACTAAATTCTCATTTCACCGGTTTAATGTACTGAAAATAAAGTATTGCGAACAAAATACTTCTTCCTTACATGAGCATCGAACTCACGACTTCACAGTTGAGAGAGAAAATGTTGAATCATTCGCATCTAGACTCGTCGGTACAGTAATAATATTTGTTTGGTGGCACAGAAAAGTGATAAGGAAATGAAACATGTGATGTCATTTATGTCACCCTAAGAGACATGCCTCTCCACTTCAATGAACACTGACGTTGTCTCATAAAGACGGCATCTGTTGCGTATCTATGAAGCACCTCTTCTGCACTCCTACATTGACATTTGAAGAATACGTACCTCTTTCTTAGAGGTGTGTGTTTGACACGCACACTTTAGGGAGGTGAGAAAAGCTTTGCCTTGGCGAATTAACAGCCTAGCAACGATGATTGTGTATTCTTCTCCCAATAAGTAACACTGGTACAAGTATACAGCTATCCCTTTTGTCTGCACAAGGGAATTTTTTTTGGAAGAAAATGATTGTCCTAAATATTAAGAAAAATGATATTTTAAAGAGAAAATTATTATTTCGTCTTGAATTTTAATTAAATTAATAATTTCGTCCATGTATTTTGATTAAATTATTTGAACATCTTTAAAGTTTGATTGCGTCTCACAGTATAGCCCTTCTGTTTAAAATGTTCTCATTTTCAATTAATTTTACATGAAAAAACCAATAAATTATGTTGTGGGACCCACAAATAACTAAACCCAAATTGCAAAACCCTAAACTTGTCCTACCCATCGCATGAGCAACGATCTCCCTCCTATCCCCTCGGGTTGATTTTTCAACGTTTAATACAGCCATTTGTGCAGCCTCAATCAGATTAGTTGGGAATGAGAGGACAATCTTAATAATAATTAAAAAATTATTATTTTTTAAGATTATTGCACAATGATTAAGAAAATTATTAATTTTTCTATATTATAATAAATTCAATAGTAATTTAACTAAATTATTCTTTATCTCAAAACCAATAGTTATTTTTGAAAATATTTATTATAATTAATCTAAATGAGAGTAATATTAGAAAAACATCATATATTATTCCTTAAAATATCAAAATAATTTATATTTTATGATAAAATAATTATTAAAAAATGACTTATATTTTGAGAAAAATGAGTAATAATTAAGAATTGAACATGAGAAATAAATGGAGAGGCTTTTTCCATTAAAAATAAAGGGGATTAGCTAAATCCAAAATGGGAAAATCTAGGTGATGTTGATCACTAATGTCATGGTTAAGGCCCACTTGGAAGCACCCCATTAAAACTTCAAAACCATAGCAGACCATACTAAGTACATAGAGTATTATTAATATTATTATACAAAAGTCCAAAAAGGCCGTATATACTGTCACTATCACAACTAATCTGAATTTCAACATTGTTTGTTTTATTTTTTAAACAGTATTACCACATTCAGAACCAAATTTTTTAATCTTATTTTTCAATTACAAAGTTAACATAATCATTATCAATTTTGCTTGAAGAGATAGAAAATTAAATATTCTAATTCGAATGTTTACAAGCACTAAAGTATAAGAATCAACTGTAAGAACTTCTATATTTACAATTCTTCCTTTTTTTTTTAAGAAAAAATTAATTGTGATTGATAAAAATTTTAACAAATATATTAAGATTACGTTGGTTATAAATGAACTTAAAATGTCAAATTCATCTACAAATGAATTTTTTTATATTTGAAATAAATCTAAAAGTTGAACATTTGTTTGCTTTTATTTCTAATATTTTTGATATAATAATTTTAGAAGATTAGAAAGATGAAAAATTTTATTATAAAATTTTAGATCATTTAAGTTTATGAAATTTATTTGAAAATTCTAATCTCTCTGTTCCCTTTTTGTTTACATAGTTTGACAAAATATGTATATTAAAAATTTAGTTAATAAAAAATTTTTTTTTTTACCCTTAACTCATTAAGATATAAAAGTCATTCATTTAACGAATGATAATAAAGGTTATCATAGACAAAATAATTATTTATATGTATAAATTTAGAAATCTTATAAATATTTATGATATTCAAAAAAAGAATAATAAGTAAATAAAATGGAACGAAATATATTATATTTTTTAGTATAATTTGATTTAAATGTAATTTTTAATTGGAATATTTAACTTCCACCATTGTTTGATTGATCTCCTGCAATATGAGCAGAAGGTAGATTATAAAAATGTAAGCGAACAGAAAACAACAAACCCACAATTTTATGCTAAATACCTAACTTAAAACTGACAATATGTATTGATGATAGCTGGTGGGTCACGTGTTTCTGCTCAACTTCTACTGTTAAAATGTGTAAATAATATATCTTAAATATAAAAATCACAAATGAATAGAATATAGTTAGTTGACTCTAAAAATATTAATATTATATAAATTCTTTTTTTTAAAGGGTAATATTATGTATATTCTCTAACATGAGAAAATAATTATTAAATTAACAAAATTTATTTGTTTTTATTTTATTGAATAAAATTTGATTTTTAAGTTAATACAGAATGAATAAAATTTGAATTTTCTATAAAAAAAGAGTATATTAATTAAATAGGAAGTTGCAGGGTTTGTAAAAAAAATTTAAGAAAGTATTGACATTTTTAAAATTTATAAGGAAAATTTACTAAATTTAAAACTTTAAACTTACTTCTGAAAGTTTTAACTTTTCAATATCATTCTATTTTTGATTTTTTACTTAAAAGTAAAATTAAATAATTCTATAATTGTTTGTTTGATGTAAATAAATATTCTCCGTCTATAAAGATATACATTGATTACATTTGGATGGATAATTTTCATGTAAATAAATATATTTTCCATGAATTGAAATGTGGCAATTTATGATTGGAAAAGTCAGAACGGTAATGGAAGTCATCGAGCAGATAATCCTCATCCAAAAGATGGACTGTAAAAATGAGAATATATATATATAAATGAACTATTTTTTAAACAAGAGGAAAGTAATATAAAATCGAAAAGACAGCAAATTATATCTGGTATTTCGCCATTGCCGTTTGCCGTTTGTTGTTAAACTTTTCGGCGATCACATTAAAATGGAGTAGCTGCGGCCCCACCAACTGGAAATTTGGGTCCCACCATATAAACATACCTATCCAATCCAAGTTGTTATCGATCCATTTCCGATCGTTGAAGGCTTGAAGATTTTCTTGGCAAGATCTGCTCTCAAGAGACGCGTGTTCATTAACTTCTTTGGATATTTTCTCTTTTGTCTGCAGTGAGGGATAGAGAGAAGAGAATGTTCCTCTTAGTAACAGGATCTGAGAATTTTCATGTACAGGTAAAATTATTTTGGAAATTTTTGTTTTGCAGTTTGGTTTGGCCTTGTTCTTTACATATACATTGGTTAAATTTTTGTCTTGTTCTTCTTTTTCACTTTTATTAGTGTTGTTTGCCTTTCGCCTTTCTGGGTTTGTTTCTAAATTAGAAACTCTCATCTGGATTTTATGGTTTTCTTCTTGAATATCTTACTAATTTGGCATCTGTGTTATTTAGCATTTGTTTGTATTATGTGACAGTGGTGGTTTAATGTTAATTCGTTAATTTATTTCCAATTTAAATGTTTTATTAATTGCATTTATTCTAGTGTTGATGATAGATCTAGTTTCTAAGTATTGATTTTTTTCGTTTCAGTTAAATTTTTAGACTTTAATTGTTCAAAGGAGGTTTTTTTGTGGTTTCTAATATGCTATTTTATTAATGACTTTCCTTGTTTTTCTGTTTTGATGTAATTCAATGCTGTGTTAAATGATGTATTTAAAGTTTAATCCTTTACTTCATCTTACATTTATCTCTTGTATATTTATATATTTAATTTACTTTTTAATTTTGTGTTTATGATTTGATTTCACTTGGATTTGAAATTTCATGTTTAGACTGAGCAACATGATTGATTGAGAAATGGGCAAAAAGGGCGGTTGGTTCTCTGCTTTTAAGAAAGCTCTCAGTCCTAAGGTTTGTCGGAAGTTTTGGACTTTGTTTCAATATATGTACCTTTGACTATTTAGATTTGTTAATAATCTAAGGCTAAAATTCGGTCACTTCTGTGTTTAATTAGAAATCCAAACCAAAGAACGCAGAGAAGAATCCGGATCTAGTTGTTTCTTCATTTGAAGGAACTAATACATTAGCTGCTCCTGCTGCTGTCACTCCTCCACCTCCACCACCTCCTCCTTCTCATTGCGCTATCGAAGATGTGAAATTAGCTGAAGCAGAGAATGAGCAGAGCAAGCATGCATATTCTGTGGCAATTGCCACTGCTGTGGCTGCTGAGGCAGCCGTTGCTGCTGCACATGCTGCTGCTGAGGTTGTTCGGCTCACTAGCGTGGCACGCTACTCTGGAAAATCAAGGGAGGAAATAGCAGCTATCAAAATTCAAACGTCATTTAGAGGATACTTGGTACATCTCTATTTACTCCAAGGGGTTTTATTTTATCTATTTAACAGCAAGGTGCTTAGATGTTTGTGTATATTTTATGTGGTAAATAAAATACAATGTATCTGCTTTTAGTTCAATTCTGGGAATTGCATTTTCTTTAACTTTTTTATAGGGGGGAAAGGCTGGAAATATTGTGATGCTTAGCATTTCAAATTAAGAGAAACTATTTTCATTGTGGGTGCTCAAGATAAGAAAAATCATAATTCGATTTTAAATTAGGAGTTCTCAATAATTGATCATATTGAACTTTTCAATAATAGAGCAGGTTTTTGCTATTCTGGTTTCAGGCAAGGAGGGCATTGCGAGCTTTGAGAGGGTTGGTCAGATTGAAGACATTGATACAAGGACAATCTGTCAAACGACAAGCAACTAACACCTTACGAGCAATGCAGACTCTTGCACGTCTGCAGTCTCAGATTCGCGCAAGGAGGATCAGAATGACGGAGGAGAACCAGGCCCTCCAGCGCCAGATCCAACAAAAGCGCGAGAAAGAGCTTGAGAAGTTGAGAACAGCTGTGAGTGTGCCCATTTTTTACTGTTTAACTGAATCCATTTCTGTTTTGTGTATGTGTGCGTGCCTGCATATATGCTTTCTGCTACTGGTTCGTGTTCGTGATCTCAAATGTGTTACTACTACTGTAATATATTCCTTTTTGGTTTATTTCTTGGATTTTATAGCAATTCCTTTCCCCTCTTTTCTCTCTATTTTGTTCTGGTCTATTTTCTTGTAACTTTTTCTTTTATTCCATTCTATGATATGCTCTCTCCCCTCTGCAATTTCTATTCTTGGCTCAATGCTTCTTTTCCTTACATAAAGCACAGTTATTGGATAAAATACTTGTATTTTTGGAGTTCTAACTTTCATGTACTTCGGCATCAGATTGCGGAGCAGTGGGATGATAGCACACAGTCCAAGGAGCAAGTTGAGGCAAACTTACTGCAGAAGCAAGAAGCTGCTATGAGAAGAGAAAGGGCTTTGGCTTATGCATTCTCTCATCAGGTAATAAATTTTAATATATACAAATGAAGGCTATATCTTTTTCCCACATTCATTTCCATCTCGTAATCCTTTTTTTGTTTTCCACTCCATTTTTATTTTTTAATTTTACGCTGTTTCGGCAAACAGCAGTACAAATCAACCTTTTAGTTAATTGCTCTTCCAATTATTTTCACATGCTTTTATGAATGATTTAGGTAATTAATTTAATATCAAGAAATGTTTTCTAGTTGTAATTTCAACCCTCATGCTGGATCTTAATTTGATATCATACACGATGGATTCATGATATGGGGAAAGATCGTTTAGGTTGTAAATTTGAGGGAAAAAAGAAAAGAAAGAAAACACCATAAATAAACTTACAAATGAACAAGAGAGGGGAAATTGAGCTTGTAATTTTAACACTAGGAGGCTATGTAAACCTCAAACTTGAATTAAACTTCATTGCGAAGTATTTCTGTGACATGTAGGTCCACATATGCATGTACCCTTAAAAATTAGCAAATGCATTACTATTAGAGCTCAGACATCTCCATGCTTAGAGACAAATCTTGAATCATACTTCCTTTCAAATAAAAAACTGACATATGATAAATTTTGGAACAGCAAGCATGGAAGAACTCTTCAAAATCAGCAAATGCAACATTTATGGATCCAAACAATCCCCAATGGGGTTGGAGTTGGCTAGAAAGATGGATGGCAGCTCGGCCTTGGGAGAGCCGAAGCACAGTAGATAACAATGACCGCGTCTCTGTTAAAAGCACAACAAGTCGTACAATGTCTCTTGGAGAAATCAGCAGAGCTTACTCTCGTCGTGACATCAACCTTGACAATAAGCTGTCGCCTGCTGCCCAAAAGTTGAGCCGACCTCCCAGTCGCCAATCCCCTTCAACGCCTCCTTCCAAAGCTCCTTCTACATCATCAATAACAGGGAAAACAAAGCCACCCAGCCCAAAAGGGAGTGATGATTCAAGGAGCTTGTTCAGTGTCCAGTCTGAGCGGTATCGGAGACACAGCATAGCTGGGTCATCAGTCAGAGATGATGAAAGCCTTGCTAGCTCGCCTTCATTTCCAAGTTACATGGCACCAACACAATCAGCAAAGGCAAAATCTCGAATGCCAAGCCCATTAGGATTAGATAGAAATGGAACACCAGAAAAGGCATCAGTGGGTTCCGCAAAGAAGCGGCTTTCATTCTCTTCTTCCCCAGCTGGACCAAGGAGACATTCTGGTCCTCCTAGGATGGAAGCCAGTTCCATCAACAGTGTTAACATGCGCATGGAAGAGAAAGTTATCAATGGAGAAAGCAGCAGGTAGCATAGGGGAAAGAAGAAATTCATTTTAGGCACTAGTGATAAAACAAAAATTCGGAAAAACAAATAAGTATCAATTCAGCTTTGTTATCTGCATCCGTTTTCTTTTCAGCAACAACTTTAATTAGGAGTGCGGAGAAAAAAAAAAAAAAGAAAATAAAAATGAGTTATTGTAATATTTAGTATCATTTTTCGTCGCCAGAAACACCTTTTTATTCTTCTAACAAAATGCCTTTATTAGGGAATGGTTGTGTATTGTGATATTAGGATGGATTCAAGGATGATAATATTATGATTTTTATTTAATTTTAGTGTTTCTGCAATTGCATTTCCACTGTTTAATTTTCTATTATCTCTTGTCCAGTTGGGTTGGGGGTTCTTGAGACACCGTGGAGAGAGCTGCAATTTCTAATCTTCTCTATTCTTTACTGTTATAAGTATGGATATTTCTTGCTTTGTCCGGTTGCATACGTATCCATACTGATTAAGTCAGATGTTTTTCATACAATGATTTGATTAAATCATATTTGGGCTCCGTTTTTTTTTTATAAAATAATTTACAGGGAGAATATATTTTCCATATTTTTTTATTATTTTGGAGCGTTTATAAAAATATTATCTAATTAAAAGGAAAATTGGGTCTTTTTTAAGAGAGTAAAATATTTTTCGGATATTAATAAATTTATTACAAATTTATAAATTCATATTTTTTAATTTATTAATCATCAATAACCACTATCATCGGTTATGGCCACTGCCACCGGTCACCGGTGACTTTCATATTTTTTTTTTTTTTTTTTTTGTTTTTTTTTACTCTTTTTACATCTTCCTCAATATTTAATTTTTTTTTTTTTTTTTTACATCTTTCTCATATTTAAGAATAAAATTTTTTAAATAACTATTATTATTAATATTTATATGATCTGAGTTGAAAATTTTTATATTTTTTAACTAGTTTTCAATATTACAACCAAACAACGCAGAATAAATCATTTGAAAAATATTTTCTTGAAAAATATTTTTAAAAAAGATAAGTTATTTTCCAAAATAAACTATATTTGTAATTTGTGCATGTTTAAATTATAGTATTATTTGTGTAATTTTCTTGGCCATCACTTTAACTAGTCCTTGGAGTGGCTGCCACTTTACAATAATTTCCACCAGAAACCCTCTATAAATAGAGTAATTTTCAGAGTTCATGTGAAACCTTGGAAAGTTGGCTACTGTTACAGAGAAAATGGTTTAAGGTTTGACTATACGCGTTTTAAATCTAGACGTCAACACTTAATCCGAGTAGATGGAATAATGATTAATAGTTTCCTTTATTATTTGGCAAAAACAAATAAAATAAAACATGTCATTAAAATAAACCAAACACCATAGTCCTTGTTGTTGCTTTTGTAAACTTAGAACGATCAACTTTTTGTTTCTGATCACTCTTTCCTTGGAAATTCAAGACGACAGAATCATTGGCCCGTGTTGATAGGTTTTTCCTTTTTTCCAAGCCAATCTAAGTTGTCACGTACTCTTATTCAATTAACAGCTTTATAATGTCCATATGCTTATAAAATATTTTTTTAAATGATTTATTTTTCGTTATTTGATTATAATGTTAAAAATAATTAAAATATATTAAAATATTTAATTAATAAAATCATAAAATATTAATAATAATAGAAATTTTGTGTTTTAAAAGTTTTATTGTTAAATATGATAAAAATGTAAAAAATGGTAGATTATGAAAGTTGCTGATCATCAATGGTCGTAGTCAACAGTAGCCGGTGACTGACTTGTGGTAGTGGTTACCGATGATTAATAAATTAAAAAATATTAATTTATAATATTATAACATGTTTGTCAACGTTGGAAAATGTTTTTCTCTTAAAAAACGGAAGTCATTTTGCTTAAAATGAATTAACTTTTCTTTGACTAAAAAAACATTTTTCGTTGACTTATTTTACGAACGCTCGAAATAATGAAAAATTATAAAAAAATATGTTATTTTACGGAACAAAAAGAGTAATTTTACTTTGATAGTTGCCAAAATACATTTTAAAATAACATATAATAAATCTCATATAGATATTTTAATTAAATTTAGCATGAACTAAAATTAATGTCATTAGTGAAGATAAATACAGTTTTTTTTAGTAGTAGAGATTTTTTTAGTACTTGGGAGGAGATTTAAATCTGATTTATTGTCAAGTTGTAAAATCAATTACCGTTAGCCTATCCTTAGTGTTCAAAGATAAATATAGTTATAACTATGAGATTTGATCTTTTTAAATATTTTAATATGTTATATAATCATATTTAATATTTTGTTTTATATTAGAATTCGTAATTATTAAAATTTATTAATTTTAATTAAAAACCTAATAAATATAGATGATTTTCTATAAAAAAATGAAGTTTTTGTAATTAATTTTTCTTTTTTAATTATTTCACCACATCGGGTGTATACACTTGTAATATAAAATGAAAAGTTACAAAAGATAAACTTAAATTAAAAAACAATCTTAAAAAAACGGGGAAAAAATTTACTTTACAAAAGCATTAAATGATTCGAAAAAAAAAAAAAAAGGTGACTTCACACTGTAAAACCTACACAATGAACAAGTCTACAAAAGATAAACCTTAATATTAAAATCAAACACAATCTTTTAAAAACACGGAGGAAAAAAATTTTCTTTACAAAAAGCCATCTTAAACATGCTTCGAAATAAAAAAAAAAAAAAGATATACACCATACTTGCTTAAATCGGTTTCCCTTCTTTAACTCGCTATGTGGCACATCGATTGGTACGTTACCCGCATCAGAAATTGACGTACACACCAGATCCTGCCAAGCTCATACTTTACTCACCTCTTCGTACCTTCGAAACCCCCCCCGCCCCACCCCCCAAAAAAAAATATAAAAATTAAAAATTCTAACAAAACTTTAATGAGAATCAAAAAAATCGCTCTCATCAAAGTCTCGATACAACAAAAATGCGTAAGCAAACAATAAAACAAAAAAGACATCATTATATTTGAAAATCGATATTCTAGTCGTGTTACGGTTTGAAATTTCACTTTCCTTTTCGTGTTGTTCAACAATTGATGATGTATATAGAGAGATGGTGACTATTGAAATTAATGAAATTCTAAGATGTGAAGAATCAGGCCACACCCTTTTTGGCCGCTTGCAGTTGCAGCAGCTGCTCTTTAAAAAAAAAAAAAAAAAAATCATTATATTGAAATCGATATTCTAGTCTGTTTACGGTTTGAAATTCACTTCTTTTCGTGTTCAACAATTGATGATTGTATATAGAGAATGGTGATATTGAATTAATGAAATTCTAGATGTGAAAATCAGGCCACACCCTTTTTGGCCGGGCTTGCAGTTGCAGCAGCTGCTCTTGCTGGCAGATATGGAATCCAAGCTTGGCAAGCATTTAAGGCGAGACCTCCCAAACCTAAACTTCGCAAGTTTTATGACGGCGGTTTCCAGCCGAAGATGACCAGAAGAGAAGCTGCTCTAATTCTTGGTATTAGGTAATTAAATTAACAATTATTAATTTATTCTCTTTGGTCAATGGTTATTATAATTTTAGGGATTTAATTGATGTTTGGTTGGTTAGATTCAACTAAATTAGAGATGGGCAATGCTTTTATCGGGCAATTGAGTCTTAATTGATTGAAAAATCATTTTATGCCTCAAGATTATTAGATTATCAAGGGACAAATTGATTTTTAGACTTGCAAATTAATTATTTGAAGAATTTTGGTCTTTATCCTCTGTTTAAGTTAGAAATTGATGAAAGATTTGAGAACTTGGAAAGGTTATTCTATTTGTTGTTATCACTGATGCTGGATAGATATATGTTTGGCATCTGATTCTGTCAATTTAAATCTTAGAAGAACACTTGTTTTAATAAAATTTAAATGATATTTTATTCTCAATAGTTCTATTTTTGGTATACTGGGATTGAAATGAGCTAAAAGGTGGCTTTGCAGTTCTACATAGGGTGTAAACGAGCAGAGGCAAGCTCGAACCTGTCAGGCTCAAAGCTCGACTTGAAGCTCGAGTTCAACTCGAAAAATTTTGAACTTGGGCTCGGCTTGAGGTTCGAGTAAGTCTAAAATAAATATTATATATATGTATATAAAACAACTTGACAGGACTCGACGAGCTTTCAAATTAAACATCATGAGGCTCAAGTTCTGTTGGTTTAGCAAACGAGCCAGAGCTCGAGCTCTAGCTCGATTCGAGTCGAGCTCAAATAGCTCGCGAGCCGGCTCGGTTCATTTATACCCCTAGTTATACATAGCCTCTTGGCCACCGCCGCCAAACACCCCCCCTCTCCTCCCACCATATCTCTCTCTTACTGCACCTAGAATTGGAACCTGAGACCTGATATTCTTCAATAGTTTTGTGTGTCGCCCTTGCTAAGAGGCTCTTTGAATAACCAAGGCAAATAAAAGTGTGATTAACTACATGTAGGACTGAGCAAGAATAGTTATGGTCTAATCTATGAAGTTTCTCACATAATAAAGGTTCTTTTCAATCTAAATTTCACTTCATTGCAAAAAGACAAATGAAATTATCAGTTTTATGCTTTAGTATAGATGATAATGAAGGACTATTACATGGATTTACCCAATGTAGAATCTTTGCAATGATCGTGTTTTGCTTTTGCCTTTTTTCTCCTTTGTTAGAAATAAGTTGTTCTATCCTTTTGTATGGTGTTAACAGGGAGAATGCGACAGCGGATAAGGTAAAGGAAGCACATAGAAAAGTAATGGTAGCAAATCATCCTGATGCTGGTGGTAGCCACTATCTTGCTTCTAAAATCAACGAAGCTAAGGATGTGATGCTTGGGAAAACAAGGGACGGTGGATCTGCATTCTGATAACTTGGAAATTGGTTAGTTTTGAGAATGCTTTTCTGATAAAATGATTTCCCTGTCCTCCCTGTCATGACTATTTTATTTTGGTCGATAAAGTCTTGCTTATAAATGAGCTGTTTTGGCTTTTGTTATGGCACTAGAAAGAAATTGATTTGCGTCCTATAGGTGTCTCTGTTGGTGGAATCTTAACCTAGTAGCCATTTGCTATGCCCAAAATAGCTTGATGTAAAGGTGTTGGAAGTTTTATGGTTTAGTTGCATTAAATCCTTCTTAGGAAATGTATGGTTTGTCCTACTATAACTTATTGGATCTTTAGCTTATTTGATCAAACAATAGTGAACTAACTTGTTTGTCTGAACTGAATAAATAAACTGCTTCTCTGAATTTATATGCCAAATTTTAATGCAACCCAAAAGCCTCATCAATTAGCTACTGGGTTCTCTCTCTTAAAATGATGTATCAAAATTCAAAGTAGAAAACACACAAAACTAAATAGTATAAAATAAGGTTATATCAAGATCAGTAAAATCTATTATAATCTAAATTACAGCCAGCATAAATCAATTAATCAGATTTAAGATAGCATTAGCTGTAGTTGAAATGGTCTGAAAAATATAATCAGATTTATTGTCCAACTAACTTTATAATGGAATTTATTATTTTGGATTTAATATTTAGACATCATATATGCATACACCTGATCAAAAGCACACTGAAGAAGGATAATATAAAGAATCCAAAGGCATTAATATTCTGCACAGGAAAATAAAATGTTTTGATGCATTAAAAATGATCGGAAAAACTCAAAAGCTCCAAATTACTGCGTGCATTCCATAGTATTAATTAATAAAAAATAATATAAACTACCATGACTAATTTTAATATTTTTTAAATATTTCATAAGTTAGCCAAAAAATAAAAACGAAAAAAACTTGGATTATCTTCTTTTTCTTTTTCACATATTGTTTAGTTTAAATGAATTAATGTAATGAATTCCACTTAGAATTTATCTAGTACGATGCAACTGATAATTTTATAATTGAATTCCACTTCCTAAACTATGCTAAATCCTAAATAGAATTGAATTCCACATTAGATGTTTGATATAATATCGTTCTCGCTGACCGACTACTCGTATCCTGTTCGTCGATACTCATCTTCTCTCCGGGTGTTTAACTCTTTTTTCTGTTCTGCTTCTCTCCTCTCAACAAATAGTCTTTTAACTATTTTATTCTAAAATTTGTTCTTCTTAGATAGTTCAAAATTTAATCTTTCTTAGAAAAAGTCTCCAGACTCGACTGTGTATCACATTGAAAGTACGAGAATGTGCTCAAATAAAATATTATTAAATTATAGCTGCAATCTTATATTATATATTATACTAAATTATTAAGAAATTTTTATAAATTTTAAATCACAGGTTTATGGTACAAGTGTCTTTACCATAAATATAGATTTTTTTTTTATTCCAAGAAAACCTTTGTTCCAATAATATGTGCTTTGCATTCAACATTTGGTCAGAGAAAAATGCAAGAAGATTCTCTCTTAACGGAAATAATACCAACAAAATTTTAAACTTCTGATTATATTTGCAGGTATGGCTTCTACCTTTTTTTTTTTCTTTTTTTGGAGAGAGCAAGTTTGGACTATATCCAGTCACATAAAAGCTGGAATTTGGATCCTAGGGTGGAAGAAAGGGTGTGGAATTTAAGGCATTTCTTTTCCAGTTAGCAAATGTTCAGTTTCAATATGGGATGAGTTTGATCAAATTAAGATTTAAAAAAAAAAAAAAAAAAAAACTGGGAATTTGATCCTAGGGTCGCGAGAAAGGGTGTGCAATTTAATGGCATTTCTTTTCCAGTTAGCAAATGTTCCAGTTTAAATATGGATGAGTTTGATCCAAATTAAGATTTAAAAAAAAAAAAAAAAAAAAAAAAACAAAAAAAAAAAAAAAAAAAAAAAAAAAAAAAAAAAAAAAAAAAAGCGCTTCTGCTGTACCCTGATTTCAGCAAATGGTGAAACCTTTCGAAAGGCAAAATTCTTAGAAGTAACAAGGCCGTTGATGTAGACCTAATTTTTCCTTAAAAAATTATATTTTAAGCATATCAGATGGCAATGAAATGGAGATAAAAGTAATTAATTTTTATTTAAAAAATGATTTCAAAAAGGGGAAAAATATTTATAACATAAATATTGGGCTTTATTAATTATACCTACGGTACGTCAACTTATCACTAGTTCACCTTAACATGCTTAAATTTCAATTTATAACATAGACACAAAATATCAATTTTTATAACAATAAAAATCCTTGGCGATAGTAGAAATTGAATTGATATACGATTATATATGGCACAAAAATTAATGCAATGATTAGCAACAGTATGAACACTTTCACGTGCTACCTTCGATCTATAATATTTCTCGCATTAAGGAAAATAGTTTATTTAAAATACTTGTCATTTTTGAAATTAATGCAATGATTAGCAACAGTATGAACACTTTCACGTGCTACCTTCGATCTATAATATTTCTCGCATTAAGGAAAATAGTTTATTTAAAATACTTGTCATTTTTGTTGGTTTCAAAGAATAATAATTTTTTTTTTCTATGTTTACCCTTTATACACGTCCAATGATTAAAGGAAATATAGTCAATTTACTTAATAATCTATTGTACAAATTTAATAATTTTTTTAAGTAACGTGAAATTTCAAATATGATAAGTATTGTAGAACATAGATAATAACACTAAATAAAACAGAGGAAATGCATAAATATAAAAATATAAGGATATATTTATAAATATCAAAGATAAAGCTTTATAAATCCTCCATGATAAATAATGAAGCACTACTTACTAGGGGTGGCCACGATTTCGGAACCGAACCAAAAATTAACGGTTCCAGTTATGGTTTGAAACCGAACGGTTTAAGCAAAGGGTACTACTAGGTCAAAGAAAATGAAGCAAACAAAATAAGTTAAAATTTTAAAATTATAGAACTCGCAACAAGTGAAAATATAAATTCCTCTCATCCACACAAAAGAGAGGAATCAATTAATTAATTTTTGATAATAGATATTCTTATGAATTAGTTTAACTATAATTTAGGAATCAATTTTTTATATTTTCCCTTTTCTTTTCCAAAATGTTTTCGATTGTAAATTAAAATTAAATCATCAATATAACATTTATTTTAATTATTTGTTAAAACTACTTTCTTAATGAAATTTAATTTTTATATTTTTATTTGAGAAAATAATTATTTAATCTCTAAAGCATGCTAAAATTATTTAAATCTTTGATGTTCGCATCTGTCACTCTTTAATTTATTTATAATGGAAGAAATTTCGCTAATTTTTTGTTGATATACTTTGCCAATTGAAGCAACAATATTGAGGCAGCAAAACATGTATACTAAACATAAGCTTCAAGCAAACTTTAGGAAATTTTTTATGAACTCAATTAGAAATCCTATTATTTTTATTAAAAATTTTTATAATTTATTATATGACAATAAAAATTAATATCTATATTCAATTAGAAATTCTAATATTTTTGTAAAAACAAATAAAAAAGTTTAACTTAATTATTATGGATATTTGAGCTCAAGTATGAGTTTTAATATTAAAAAAAAAACTAATTTTAATTAAAAATAGTTCAAAACTTTTTAATTAATATAACGAATACAAACGATTTAGAGGGGTGTTTTTGTATGTTAGTTGGTGTTTTTTTTTAAAAAAAAAAAAATAAAAATAAATTTCACCTGTCACTCCAAACAAGTTCATTGTGATCAAAATACAATCTCAATGGCCACCTTCTTTTCTCTGCAACTCGAATTTCTTCTGTTTCATCTCAATCTCTCATTTCAAATTCAATTTTCTAAACCACAATCACTCGCTCACTAACCCCCTAATTTCATGTCCATTGTGTAACCATGGCAGAACCACAAGAAAATATCACACCCCCACAATCACTAACAGTACCACAACTTGTAAAACAGCTAACTGCAATCTTAACTGCAGATGAACTCCCAGTCCAAACACGTAATCACTACATTCCCATTTTCTCCTCGAACCCTTTTCTTCTGATCTCTCTCCTTTCTTCCAAATGCCTCTTTCACCGGCCTAATACTCTCCTGTCCTTCTACAAATGGGCACAATCTCATCTCCCTCCCTCAGTTTCTCGCTCTCCTCTTCCTCTCCTTTCCCTTCTCCCTACCCTCCTTTCGCGTCGCAAATTCTCCAACGCCAAAGCCCTTCTCACCTCCTTCATCGTTTTAGACAATTCCAACATTCTCTACCGTCACATCCTCAATCTTCCGGCTGCGGCAAAGAACGCTCGCGACTTGAAATCCCTCCTTGATGCTTCAATTGGGGCCTATGTTTCCTCTGGTAGACCCCACTATGCTGCACGGATTTCCTCTGGTAGACCCCATTATTGGTCTTGTAGATAAAATGGGAATGTTTAGTTGTTTGCCTGATGCTGTTAGTTACAAAAGAGACAAACTGAATGGAAAAGAGATTAACCTCAAACTCTGAAGAGATTGATAGAGAAGTTATTTAGTTTCTGAGGTTTGATGAAATTATTTAAATAATCTCGGCCTTTTGCACAAATATCCAGAGCTTCTTTGATATTTGCATCCGTCAACCTAAATAGTTTTTCGTCCAATTTTGAGGGTATTTTCTGTTAAATAGTGGAAAAAGTAAGAAAAAAAATGAGTGAAAATATATAAAATTAACAAAATTACCATTCTCTTCTTTTTTCCTCAGTAAGAAATCTTTAACACATATCCAGCTTTGAAAAGATGAATAAACCAATCATCCCACTAGCTACCAAAGAATCTGAACAAGAAAAAGAAGAAACAACAACAAACCCATATCAATCTCATATCATTGTTCCTTAATCTCCAATTCAAAACCAAGAACTGAAAGACCCATTTAACCTTGAAAAAAATCAATCTTTCATGTTTTTTATAAGCAAGAAAAATGGCGTTCAGAATCGACCAACAAAAGACAACAACAGAGGATCCTTTATCCAGAACACAACAATTCTATAAATCTACTATTGTTTCTCGTGCTCTTTTTGAATCCGCCAACGCTACATTTCTTTAACCATCGAAGAACAATACAGGTAAATATTTATATATATTAAAATTAATCCTTCCACGTTATTTTTTTTCAATATTTCTTTGATCTTTTGATTTTTGTATAGCTTTATCAAAGGATTTGAAGATACATATCCACAAATTGCCACTGAAAATACAACAAAGATTGGCTAGCAAAGAGATGCAGAAACCACTTAATTATTTGCATCAGAGGTAGCGATGCATATAGTAATATCAAATAGCGACGAAGACGATGATGGTGAAGGTACGGGCGGAGGCGGAGGTGGAGATGAAGGCAGAGGTAATGATACTGATGATGGAGGAGGAGTTGCAAATTCTGATGTTGATGGCGGAGGCGGCAATGGTGGAGGAGGCGGTGCAGGTGAAGTTGGTGGAGAGGGAGAGAATGGCTACGTGTGGCTTTCATATTGCCAGGATGTTTTCATCGTTTCTTTATGACTTAACGGAAAAAACTCTCAAAATTGCAGGGAGAGACTTAGATATGCAAAAACGTCGGGATACTCTTAATATTCGTTCAAAATGTAGGATTACTTAAATAATTTGGCCATACGTTAGTAACTAAATATTTAATTTTGCATAATTTTAAAAACAATTTACTTTTCTAAATAGTTTTAAAAAAAAATTATTGTCAATAGTTTTACATAAGAAATTTCGAAAATGAAATAGTGAAAAGTTAGGCCCTTTATTGCTGAATTAAATAGAATTCTTTTAAAATTACCATGGAGTATTGTACAGTGTAAACTATTTTTTTTTTATATATTTTTTAAATATGCAAATTTAGCTAGAAGTTCAGAATTTGAGTTTTCCTTTAAATGTTGTTAAGCCAAAAATGTTGATTAGAATTCTCCCTCAATGCTTAAACTACTTAAGCTTGAAGAATTTTAGTAGGACCTTAAATATTTTCAGTCAGAATTTAAATTCATTTATACATTTGATATATTTTTTGTAAAATTGAAACAACCATATGATTTAATTCTATAAATTTGGACTATCAGAAGGTAAAAGTAGAAAATAAAAATTTGAGGGGGCGATGTTTTTTTTTTAAAATTTTTTAAGAGAGCAAAACAATTTTCTTTTATATATTTCAAGGAGACAAAATGTAATTTTTTATTAAATTTTTTTCTTAAATTTCTTTTTACTGGGGTGGTAGCCTGCCGCCCTTTACCTAGTTCTGTCTTGACTGCATCACATTATTCATTTAAATTAACATTTATTTTTAATATTTAAAAATTTTTAATTATTCCATAAACAATTATTTATATTTCACTTAAAACTTTCAATTAAACTTTTTTTTTTGAATAATTAGAAAATTTTAAATTAAAATTTACACTGAAGATAATAAGTCATTGAATTTTTATAAAGTTTTATAATTTTTAAAAATTCAATGATGCCTATACTTTTAGTTATCAAATATTAAGAAACAAGTGAAATTATCAGATTAATAGTTTTTTTTTACAATTTTCATATTCCCATCATCGAACTGTGTTAGTAGTCGTTGGAATCAACTTGCTGCCGTTTCCAGCGAACGCGTGAGTAAAATATTCCAAAGCCTGAAACGACGCTGTTGGGCCTCGTTTTCAAAATCTCCATCTCCCTGCTCCAAGCTGTATTGTAAGTTGCAACTCTCCATCTTAAAACTAATTTCATATCCAGAAAGATAATCATGGCAGAACCACCGGAAAATATCCCAAATCCACGATCAATGGCGGTACCGCAATTTCTAAAAACCCTAAGGAAACTCTTAGCTTCAGATGAACTCCCACTCCAAAAGCTCAATTGCTACATTCCTATTTTCTCTTCAAATCCTTTTCTTCTTATATCTCTCCTCTCTTCCAAATGGCTCTTCAACCGTCCCACTACTCTTCTCTCCTTCTTTAAATGGGCGCAATGTCATCTCCCTCCCTCCATCTCTCAATCTCCTCTCCTTCTCTTTTCCGTTCTCTCTCCTCTCCTGTCCCATCACAAATTCTCCGACGCCAAATCACTTCTCACATCCTTCATCGCTGCTGACAAGTCCAACATCCTCCACCGTCACATCCTCCAGCTACCTGAAGCGGTAGAGAATCCTCGCAGCTTGAAATCCCTCCTCGATATCTCAATTAAGGTCTATGTTGCCTCTGATAGACCCCACCATGCTGCACAGGTTTTTAACAAGATGAACAGGTTGCATCTCCCGCCTAAATTGCGTACTTGTAATACTCTTCTTAATGCTTTGGTCAGGTTTCCGTCTAAGCATTCTGTTTATTTGTCTAAAATTGTTCTTAGTGGTATGATTAAACTTGGTGTTAAGGTCAATACCAACACTTTTAATATTTTGGTCTACGGGTGTTGCTTGGAGAACAAGTTTGGGGAGGCAACTAGTCTTCTAGGTAAAATGAAGGAATTTGGTTGTTTGCCTGATTCCTTTAGTTACAACACAATTTTGGATGTTTTGTGTAAGAAAGGCAAGTTGAATGAGGCGAGGGATTGGTTATTGGAAATGAAAAATAAGAGTTTGATGCCAAATAGTAGTGCTTTTAATATTTTGGTTGGTGCATATTGTAAGTTGGGATGGTTGAAGGGAGCATCTCAGATTATTGAATTAATGTGGGAGAATAATGTCTTGCCAGATGTTTATACTTATACCATATTGATTGATCGATTATGTAAAGAAGGGAGGATTGATGAGGCATTGAGGTTACGAGATGAGATGGAGAATTTGAAGTTGTTGCCTGATGTTGTTACTTATACTGCATTGATTAATGGGTGCTTTGAGTGTAGTAGTAGTGCAAAGGCAATTGAATTGATTCAAGAGATGGAGAGGAAGGGAGTGAAGCCAGATGCCGTTATACAAAATATACTGGTCAGTTGGTATGTGAAGGATGGAAATGTGGATGATGCAAGAAAAACCATTAGGAAGATGGAAGAAACTGGAGTTTCATTTAATACTGCTAGTTATAACACAATTTTGGATGCTTTGTGTAAGAAAGAGAAGCTGAATGAGGCTCAGGATTTGTTGTTGGATATGAAAAATAAGGGGTTAATGCCAGATAGTTGTAGTTTTAATATTTTGGTTTGTGGATATTGCAAGTTGGGGTTGCTGAAGGAAGCTTCTGAGGTTATTGAATTAATGTCACAAAGTAATGTGTTGCAGGATGTTTGGACTTACAATATTTTAATTGGTGGATTATGTAAACAAGGTAGGATCGATGAGGCGTTTAGGTTGCAAGATGAGATGAAGACTTTGAAATTATTGCCTAACGTTGTTACTTATAACACATTGATTAATGGGTGCTTTGAATATGGTAGTAGTTCAAAGGCATTTGGATTGATTCAAGAGATGGAGTCGAAGGGAATGAAGCCAGATGCATTTACACATAGTATAGTGGTTAAGTGGTATGTGAAGAATGGAAAGATGAATGATGCTAGAAAAACCATTAGGAATATGGAAGAAAGTGGATTTTCATCTAATATCGTTTGTTATAATATAATTTTGGATGTTTTGTGTAAGAAAGGGAGGTTAAATGAGGCTAAGGATTTATTATTAAAAATGATAAATAAGGGGCTGATGCCGGACTGGTGTACATTTAATATTTTTGTTTGTGGGTATTGTAAATGGGGGTGGTTGACGGGAGCAGCTCAAGTTATTGAATTAATGTCACAAAATAATGTGTTGCCTGATGTTTGTACTTATACTATGTTGATCGGTGGGTTATGTAAAGAAGGCAGGATTGATGAGGCATTTAGGTTAAGAGATGAGATGGAGAATTTGAAGTTATTGCCTGATGTTGTTACTTATAACACATTGATTAATGGGTGCTTTGAGTGTGGTAGTAGTTCAAAAGCATTTGGATTGATTCAAGAGATGGAGAGGAAGGGATTAAAGCCAGACGCATTTACACACCAATTACTGATTAAGTGGTATTTGAAGGATTGGAAGATGGATGATGCCGAAAAAACCATTAGGAAAATGGAAGAAAGTGGATTTTCACCTGATCCTGCTGCATATAATACTTTGATAAATAAGTATTGTAAAATAGGGAAGCTGGGTGAAGCATTTAGGATGATGGATGAAATGGAGAGGAAAGGTTTGAATGTGGATAACGTGAATCTTAATTCCATTATTCATATTCTTTTTGGGGAAAATTCTTTTATGCCAGATGTGTTTACTTGTAACATTCTTCTTCGCATGCTATGTAGAAGAGGTATGCTTGAAAAGGCTCTTAATCTCTTCAACACATGGATTTCAAAAGGGGAAAAAGTCGATGCAGTTGCATACAACACAATAATATTGGGTCTTTGCGAACAAGGCAGATTTGAGGAGGCTTTTGATCTTCTTGTAGAAATGAAAGAAAAGAAGCTAGGTCCTGATTGCTATACATGTAATGCAATTCTGGGTATACTTGCTGATGCGGGTAGGGTCGAGGAGGCTGAGGAGTGCATGTCAAAAATTATGAAAATGGGACAGTTGCAGGATCAGAATTTACTTTTGGATAAATGGAAAATTATGAGCAGTCAGACTCCTCAAGTATCTGATCCAAATTCAATTGCTTTTTCAGAATAGATTAAGGAGCTATGCGCTCAAGGGAAATACAAGGATACAATACAAATTTTTCAAGAAGAAGAGCTTCACTTTAAATAAATCTGCCTATATTAATTTGATTATGGGACTTGTTAAAAGGAGAAAAAGCAAATCATAAAGTTACTTTATCATTCTGAGCTCTTCTTGGGTTCTTGACATTGCCTAGCTGGAGAAGACACATCATATCATTAACATCAACGTTTTTGCATGCAATAAGGAGTTGAGGTAAAGAGGTTTTACCACCATCAGTATTATATTTCACTCAATTTGTTCTGCTGATTGACTGTTAGATGCATATGCATAAATGTATGCACACCATGTATATGCTTCTGCTGCATAATACATTTTTTTTTTCTTTTTTAAAATGTATAATTGGATTTTGTAATAGCTAGAAGGGGGAGCAAATTTGTAAATGGGGAACATGCACTACTCAGGGTTGGTTTCGTCGTTATTTTTTGCACAATTTGGCAACTTTGCTTTGTCAAATAAGTTTAATAAATTAGGTTTTCATCTGCAAAAGTATTCTAGTTGATGGATTTTGAGTTTGTAAACTGGTTATGCTGTTTAATAATTAGGAGCCATTCTGCATACAGATGGTAGAGGTAGAAGAGGGCAAAATAATGGAAAGCTAATATGATGCATAATGTATTTAAAAAGCTTGAGAACAGGTAAGTGAGTGCGAAATAAGGGAATTTTTTAGTTCAGACTGGATAATAATGTGTTTCCACTAAGAGTGAATAATATACTTTAGCTTGAAGGCATACTAAATGCAAGAAAAAGGTCCAGCAAGACATGAGTTATATGCCCATTTAGTAATCCTTTAGGGAGTTCCACAGGATTTAGTGGATTTTAAGCTTCATTATTGGGTTGAGTTACGAGTTGGCTCCCTTTTCGCCCCAGCTTGGGGGGGATGGATTAAGTTGCATTGAATAAATAAGAAAAGTGGTCTGCCAGAGAATATCTGCAGTATTTTTTTTTTCACACTTATACTGAAAAATGAATCTTGGTATAAATGCTTAAGTATGTCCTTCGAATTCATGTTGCAATCGCAAAGTTATATAAACCTGAATTTAAGGTAAATCATGTCCATGCTTCTTCCCTGCATCAGCACTGCAGATAATACCACTATTAGCATCAGCATCTTAACCATCTTCAGTTCCAGCCATATTTTTTCATCTGCCACGTCACCCGATAAACCATCATTGATAAATCTATAAATTATTTGCTTGAGGAAAGAAAAGCTATTGCTTTTATGTTTTTGTATAGATGATAAATAAGGACAATCGCATAAATTTACCCAATATAGCATCTTTGTAATGATCATGTTTAACTAGATGTAAATATCGTGGCACACCCTTTTGGTTGGGCTTGCATTTGCAGCAGCTGTTCTTGCTGGTAGATATGGAATCCAAGCTTGGCAAGCATTCAAGGCGAGACCTCCTAAACTTAAAATTTGCAAGTCCTATGAGGGCAGTTTCAGCCGAAAATGACCAGACGAGAAGCAGCTCTAATTCTTGGCATTGGGTAATTAAATTAACAAGTATTAAGTTTTTCTATTTGGTTAATATTTGTTATATACTTGATATAGAATAATAATTTTAGGATTTAATTAATGTTTGGTTGCTTAGATTCAATTAAATTGGAGATGGACAATGCTTTTATTCAGTAATTGAGTCTTAATTGATTGTAAAATCATTTATGCCTCAGATTATTAGAATATTATGGGACACAAATTAATTATTAGACTTGTAAATTAATTGTTACAAGAATTTTGGTGTTTACAGTTTTTTCAAGTTATAAAGTGATGAAAGATTGGAAAGACGTGAAGATATAAACCGAAGAACTTGGAAATATTACTTCTATTTGTTGTTATCACTGATGCTGTATATATTTGTTTAGCAGCTGACTTATGATATGTCAATTCAAATCTTAGAAAAATACTCATTTGATTAAAATTGAAACCGAAAACAAAATTTCTTTATCTTCTATTCTTCAATGGTTCTACTTTTGGTATTTTTGGAATTAAAATGAGCTAACAGGTAGCTTTGCCCTTTTTCATGGCTCTTTCTACTGCACCTAGAGTTGGAACCTGCAGATGGAAATCTCAATTTTAACTGCTCGGGTATTTTCCTAGGAACATTCTTTTGCAACATGAGTGATGCCCTTGCTAAGAGGCCCTTTGGATGACTAATGCAAATAAAGCATGATTAACTACATTGAGGATTGAATGAGAACAGTTTATGCACGATGACAAACAGGACATAGTAAAAATTCATTTTTTCAATATTGAATTTCACTTAATTGCGCGATGACAAACGGGGCAGTCTTTTTATGCTTTAGTATAGATGACAATATGATAATTAAGGACAATTGCATAGATTCACCCAATAGCAGCTTTGTAGTGATGCTGTTTTGCTTTTGCCTTTTCATTTCTTCGTTATTAAGTTGTTCTTTCTTTTTTATGGTGTTAACAGGGAGGATCTGACAGCAGAAAAGGTAGCCATTTTCTTGCTTCTAAAGCACATAAAAAATTAATAGTAGCAAATCATCCTGATGCTGGTGGTAGCCACTATCTTGCTTCTAAAATCAACAAAGCAAAGGATGTGATGCTTGGGAAAACAAGGGATGATGGATCTGCATTCTGCTCATCTGAAAAACGGGTTAGTTTTAAGAATGCTTATGCAATTATATTGATTTCACTATCCACTTGAGTCTTGACATATTTTATTTTGGTTGATAAAGTCTTGCATATAAATCAGCTGTCTTGGCTTTTGCACTAGAAATTGAATTGTAACTTGTTGTTCCAATGGTGGAATCTTCACCTAGTAGCCATTTGATATGCCCCAAAATAGCTCGATGTAAATGTGCTGAAAATTTCATAGTTCAATTGCAATAAATACATGTTGGATGATTCTCTGTTTGCTTTAATATGCAAAAGATTCTATTCATTTTTAGTTTCCAACATATCTTAGAAAAAGAAAAAAAAAAATCATCGGAAGTTTTCATTACACTGAATCACACTGTTGTGGTAAGTATAATTTGGATGATATACTTCCAGATGCCTGTATCTTTTATTTTTCTCTGCAGTGCATGTGTTATGAATTTAGATAATGCATTTATATCCAAGACAAGACTATTAGTTGGATTGAACATCTGAATAAGAAAACTGATATTCCTATTGATATACATTTTTCTTGCTCACTAATCTCATTTACTCGGTTTTAACCTATATATATTTACTACAAAGCCTTTTCTTTTCTTTTTTTTTTTTTTTTCACGAGTATTAAGGTAAGCTGGTATCACATGCATAATAACTTTTCAGCATTATACAAGATCCATTTCCTGAAGTCCAATCAAAGATGAAACAAGAAAATTACCAAAGTAATTTTTTTTTTCCACCATATTCTAACCCTGTATAATTTGAATTTCTTTTGGTAGAATGTATAATTTGAATTTTGATGCTTGTTAATTGTTATAATTGCCTTTTATTTTTATTTATTTGTTTTTGTATTGTTGCACCCTAAAATAGAGGGAAAAATCTCATTCTAAATTTGCATTCAAATGTTTCAATTGTATTTAATTAAATTCGTTTTAAGTTTTCGATTGAATTTGAGATATTGATATATGTGAATTAAATTTTTTTTTTTCAAAACAAAATAGAAATGTATTTTTTACATTTTTAAAGATAAAAATTCAAAAATAGAAGTTTTATTTACTTTTTAGTTTGAACATATCAATAGAAAACTAAAAAATAAAGGTATTGTAGAAAGGTTTAACAAGAAACAACCCACTAAACTTTAGGCTTTGTTGCAATTGCGCTTTTTTTATTTTTTATCCTAAATTGCAACTTGAAAAGATTAAGTTTGGTATGCTTAAATCATTCAAACCTGTGTTTTCTGTTCATTCTTAAATTTTTTGTGTATAATTTTGATCTGTTTACTATTCAAGTTTCTCAAGTGAATATAATGGCGAATGTTACTGGTGAATATTACAGGTATAAGTGAAGTTATACTTGATGATGATGCTTTAAGAGCTTTTGATTTTAGTAAGGTGAGTTTTTTTCTATTAAATACAAAACATATTCCAACAAGCTCAAGGTAATCCAAAATCACAGTTAAAGATAAAAGTAGGTGTGACTCTAGATAGCCAAAGCAAACTCTAGAATTTTTCGTAACTATTAAGGTCCTGTTCAGCGAGATTAGTTATTTTGGTTGCTTTGAGTTGTTTTAATAGTGTTTAGCTGTTAGCTGTTAGCTGTTTGATTAGCATTTCATAAAGTGCTAAAAGTTAAATGTTACATGAATTAATTTTTTATAAAACGTTATCTTAACCTCTAAAAGTTAATTCAAACGCTATATTACCGAATACTATAAAAAATAATGTTTAGCATTTCAAAATGCTAAAATCTATTTAAAAAAGTTATTGTTGACACAATTTAAGTTTGTTTTTGTGATGCAGGAAAGTGTAGAAGTGGATTCATGACTGATCAGAGGAGAGAAAATAGTTTTATGACTAAGATATCCCCACTATCCTCCTCTCTCTCTACCCTTCTCTCTATTTTCTCTCCCTTCATGTCTCTTCACCTTTCCTTCTTCGGTCCTCAAAAATTAGCTACTGTTAGCATTAAGCAAGTTTTAGCCTGAGCATATACATTCTTCAGTGCAATAACGATGGTTGTTCAACAAAAGGCATTGAGAGTGGAGATTATATGAGAACATAACAAATCCATTAAAGTAAATAGAATTTGATGCCAATGCAGACACAAAAGAAATCGAAGGGAAAGCCTCAATATACAGCAAGAAAATAAAAACCAAAGCCATAAAAGAGTATTGAATCAAGAATAATCAACAATGGACAGAGGAAATTTTGGGAAAATCCAAAACACAAAGATAAAAAGAAGACGAAGAAGATGATCAATCTAGTAAAGATCACGCATATACAACGACAAAAAGAAAGAATATCTCTTTCTCTTTATTAGAAAAGAAAAATATTAATTAAATATATATATATTAATGATGTTTCTATGAATCTGTGAGAGAAACTTTTTGTCAATGTAACCGTTCAGATTTGATTTCCATGTATTTCAATGATTCTAATTTGAGTGGTAGTCTTAGGCTAGGATTTTGGTAGTGGGAGAGCAACAGGATTGGGAAAGAAGATGGTGATGGTGGTTGTGGGTAGTAGATTTCATTAGGGTAGTAGATTTCAATTTCACGCGGACCATAACTTAAGGACGTTATAATGTATTTTATAAAAAATAAGTCCTCACTAGTGTATTTGACCAATATGGAGAGACGTAATAATGATTTTTCCTTTTAAAAACTAAACCAATTTAATAATAGTTTTTAAAAGTTAATTTTTATAATAATAAATAAAATAAAAAAATAAGTTGACAGTTTCTCTAAGAATATATTTTTCACGATTTGAAATCAAAACCGATGGTTTTAAATAAAAACCGCCAATGTTGGTTTCACAAAATAAAAAATCAGAATTAAACTCTAAGTGCACGATTTTGGTTACTATTTGAAATCAGAATCGTTAACTATGGTTTAATGTTGGTTTTAATTGATTTGGTTTTTCAGTTTAGTTCCAGTTTAAAACCGAACCCAAGTCATTCCTACTCAAAGTTGAATAAAATGTTGTTTGCTATATAAGCGCAAGGATGAAAAGTGGAAGAAAAAACATGAGGATAAACTAATTAATTATACCAAAACATAGGACAAAATTGTATTTTTGCCTATAAAAATTAAATCGCTCTGAACTGAACCAGTGAACCCACCTAATCAAGAAAAAGCTTTTTCTTATTATTATTATTAATCGTGCCCTTCGTTTCTTATTCAAAGCTTGCTATGTTTAACGAGTGAGCCCCACATTCGGCTCAATCAACAATGAGTAAGCAAAAAATAAAACAAAATGACCAAAAAAACTCTTAACCTTCATCATTTTTGTTAATTTCTTTAATCACATCAATTAATATTGTGACTTCACCTTGGGAACTTTATACAAGCTAAGTAAGATAGATTCCTTTTTATTCATAAACTAGCATTGGCAGGGTGCGCCTGGCCCGTACAGCAGTGCAGCGTATGAGCGACACTCGAGAACCCCAGTAGCAAGCTACCGTGGCAGGCTCTCTCCCTTGTAAAAATTAATTTAATATCATGTGGACCAATGGTCCACGTATCAGATATTAAACTGATAAGAACAGATACTACACTTGATCTTAGCCAAAAGGCCGAGAAAGGTATGCTTATTTCCGTTTCTCGTCCTCATTTTTATAGTCTCATCAGCTTGGCCATTCCAGTTTATTTGCGGTGTGGGTTATAGTTAATGGATGGAATGTATAATGTCTGGCTTTGGCTTATGGTTTGCTAAGAAATAGAGTAATAACTAATGAGCAGGACAAGGAGTAAACTTAAGCTGAATTAGTATATCTACAAATGATATGGCCAGCCAAAATTAATTTAATTTTTATTGCTTGCCTGGCCTTTATTTATCTATCTATCTATACTATATATAAAAGGAGAATGAAGGGGAATAATGAGATTTTCTATATTGTCCTTGTAAAATTTAAGATACTCTAAAATAACCTTAATTATATCCAATTAAAAAATTTTAACATAAAAAATACATATAACATCTCTATAATTTGATTGGATTTTTTAACTTTTTTTTTAATAAATAAATACATATAGATAATTAAGCATTTGAAAATTTAAAATTTAAAATTTTACTATTATTTATCTTATTATGTCTAATTATTTTTATTTCATTATATTATTATATAAATTTTGATATCCAAATTTAAAAAATTTAACATACAAAATACATATCAAAGCATCTCTGATAATTGGATTGGATTGTTTTTTTTCAAACTTTTTTTTAATAAAATTAAATACATATAGATAATTAAGCATTTTTGGGGGGCAAAAAATTTTAAAATTGTAAAATTTTGACTATGCGGCGGGGGGGCGCCGGCGGCGGGGGCGGTATTATCTTAGTTTATGCTAATTGGATTTTTATCTTCATTATATTATATATAAAGTTATTTAATGGAGATAATTTGTAATTAATTTTAATTAATTATTTTTATTTTGTTTTTATTTACTATTATTGTAATTTATCTTTAACATATATTATTTTAAATAAATATGTCTGAAATGTGAGCATTTGAAAAATTTTATTTTTTTTCAAATTTTATGTTTAAATAGAATATATCTAGATAATTAAGGATTTGATAAAACGGTATGCGTTATTAGAATTTCTTTAATGTACAAATTACACTGGGTTCAGCCACGAAAAAATTAGATAAAAATATTGATTTTTAAACATTATCAAATTTGATAATTATATTGATGATTCTTATGTTAATTCCAAATATATGTCTTTTCTGTTAAGGTGATATGTAATTTCATTAATACAATTTTGTCGTAAACTTGATTTGATCGATTTTGAATAGCCTTGAAAAAAATAGACAAAGTAAAAAATATTATTATTTATACACGTGTTAATTTTAATTTATTCTGGATTAGTTTCTTATTCTATGTATTAAAGTGATATTTATTTACTAAAAGAGATTAGTAGTAAAAGTTATGTAAAAAACATTATATAAAGGTTAAGTGTATTAAAACGTTAAATAAAGTAGGATGCATGATTATAGAATTGCCATTTGTTTCTTAAACAAAATTAAAAACAACTAGCGTATTAGTTTAAAAATTTTGATTGAACCAGTATGTTTAAAAGCAATATAAATTGACAGTATTTTTATATGTTAAATTGCTATTTTAAAGAGAGAAATAAAATTAATTAATTTTTTGTTCAATGAGAGTATCTACAGGTGTAAGACATCATAAACTTAAAAAGAAAATATTACGTGATCATATAAAAATCAGATGATGATTGTCATTGCAATCTAAATAAAACACTTTATACAAAAAACGAACAACGAAATGTTAGAGAAAATAAACATAGTAAACGCAGTAAATGAGATATTACAGTGTAAGACATATAACTAAAAAAAATATTTTACTGTATATATAAAAATCACTATATTTATTGCAATCTAAATAAAAATTTATACAAAAAACTAAACGAATGTAGAAAATAAACATATAACGAGTATAGTCAACGTCGCACGTCATAACAAAAACTAGTATAACAAAAGAGAGTTATTTGTTAATAATGGAAGACATTTTTTTTAGCTAATTATGAAAAACCCAACAAACTGCAAGTTTAATACCATTAAGAATTAGATGTATTACAAGTAGGAAGAGGCGTATAAAAATAATAGGAAGTAAAAAGAAGAAGCTCAGTTCTAATTTGAAAGGGTTGTTATATAGAAACATATGGAGAAGCGAACTCCTTCAAGAATAAATAACAGAAGTTTTCAATAGTTTCATGCAGAAGTATTAGAAAGTTTATGCCAAGGCCTTTCTTATTACAACTCTATCATCTCACTCAGTAACTATTATTTCATATCCATCTTATGTTTATTTGAGTTTAATATATTTCCTAGAGACAGAATAATAAATGCCGAGCGAGACTTAATACCGTTACATAATAAATAGGGTTACATAATAAATGCATGTCTTAACCAAACGCTAATCAGGTAGAAACATTCTTAAATAATTTCAATATCAAGTAGAAACATACATTAAAGTGTTTAACTTGGTTTGTGGGTTTGCTTTATAAAGAGCTACCCTTCAAAAAATGATCGTGTGATATTCTTTAGTAAAAGGCAACAGAACAGTTTGCTCTGGGCTTACCGTATGGCTCCAACAGTTTTAAAGAAAGAATCAGTTTCAGCTATATAGGCAGGTTTCAGTCAGGGTGTTAACTTCTAACCGATGGGATTGAATCATTTCTGTGAAAAGAGTAAGATTGTGCCTGCGTATATTACCTATATGCTACTATAGGAGGATGCTTTTTGGCTCACAATTGTGGCCGATAAGAAAAGATCATTTAGATTGGTTGTTAAAAATCATATGAAAGAACTGAAAGTTAATAATTTCATTTGGATGAATAATTATTTCTCCAAAGATTTAAGTTTCACTGTATCAATCTTCTAATTTCAATTCCAGTTCTTAAATAGTAGAAATGAATATTTAAAAGTCTGTGGAGGCTAATATTTTCTAATTAAGCCTAAATTACTTCAATAAACTTTCTTTAGAAAGAAATTTGCTAACATGAGAACTACTTATTGTTATTAATTTGCATTTGTTATTATTTATTATTTAATGTTTAAAACATAGAATTGTAAGGCTTTACCCAAAACGGGAGCCCTTCCAGAAATTCTCGAAGACCTAACTAGAACCCAGACCTAGGAGGGGTTTTGGAAATAGTTTTCAACCAGCAATAGACGCGCCTCGGTTAGAACCTCACGAGCTGCGTCATTGCCCCAACCGCAAAGATGTTTTGACCTCTAGCTTCGCCTCTCCTTTTATACCATGCGTTAACGATTATAATTTCTTTGCTCAATCGATATGGGTTTTTGTTACTTACTAAATAATATTTTCTCACCGGCTCTATCTCGTCTATACATATATACTATAGAAAGAATTAAGTTTGACACACTGGCTAAAACTACTCTAAAGATAATATAATATTTTTCAACTCTACGTCAACGTGGGAAACTTTATTTTTAAAATCATGCGAAGAAATTGAATTTCTATATATACACGTATGCTAATTCGTGAATCTTAAAGGTCAAATACCCAAAAAGAAAAATTGAATTTATCAAGTAAACAGTAATATAATTTTTAGTTTAAATACTAAAATAGATAGTTGTTTTAAAGTTTTAAATTTAAATTGAATAATATCTCTTTTTTTAAAAGGAAATTGAGTAATGTCTAAAAATAAAAAATATTGTGTTTATTAAATAATTTTTTTAAAAAACCAAAACCAACACGTAACTCTTTTCGGTTCGATTAGGTTCCACAGTCGAATTCAGCCAACGGTACTACTAATAATAAATTAGTGGCAATAAACGTAAGCGCGACACAATTAGGCCCATTAAAAAATATATATATTAACTAGCATTGGTGGGTACGCCAGGCTCTTGCAGTAGTGCAACGCATGAGCGACGCTAGAGGACCCCAGTAGCAAGCTACCAGAATAGGCCCTCCCTTAAAAAAATTAATTTAATATCATGTGGATCATTGATCCACGTATCAGATATTAAACTGATAAGAACAGATACTACACTTGATCTTAGCCAAAAGGCCGAGAAAGGTATGCTTTAAACTGTGACTCATTTTTATTTTTATTACTCTCGTCAGCTTGGCCAGTTTAGGTTGTTTTCGATGTGGGATGTAGGATAGCAGTTCATTTAGTTTCTATTAACGCGTGGAGTATAATGTTGGGCTTTGGCTTATGATTTGCAAAGAAATAGAGTAAAGCCCGGACAAGGAGTCTATAATAAATTAATTTAATATTTTACAGGAAATTTAACCTGAATTAGGATCTACAAATGAACTTTAGTATTAAATTTTTACAATTAATTTTAGTAAATATTTTACGGAAAGGATTTTTTTTTTTTTGAAAATTACGAAAGGAATTCTGAGAAAGAGAATGTGATTCATTTTTTAAGATTATCTATAAATAGGTGGTCTCCCACACTTTGCACAGATATATAGTAAATATTTTCTCGAGACATTAGACATTTTTGTTAATTAAATTTTAAAAAATCAAATTTTTTTTTTTTGCAATCGTTACACGCACTTAGAAAATTGAACAATTAATTATAATTGCATTCTAATTAATTTAAAATGTTAGCTTTTATCCCCGCTATTTAGGTAAGATTATTAGAATATGTAAATATTGTAAAGCTCTTAAATTTGAAGAATCTATTATTGTTATATAGAATTAAAAGGTTTTTAATTGTAAAAAAAAAAAAAAAAAAAAAAGCTGTCTGCCCACACGTTTGCACAGATATAATAGTGAAATATTTTCTCGAACATGTCAGAGCATTTTTTGTTAATTAAATTTAAAACAATCCAAATTCTTTTTGTTTTTTGCAAGTCAGTTAGCCACGCAGCTTGAGACAGAGATTGAACCAATTACATTATAACTTGCATTTCTAGATTAATTGTAAAATGGTTAGCTTTTACTTCCCCGCTATTAGGTAAGATTATAGAATAGTGTAGAAATGATTCGTAAAGCTCGTTAAGAAATTTGAAGGAAAGAATTCTAGTTATTGCTTCATTATGTAGAATTAAAGGTTTTTTGTTTTTAATTGCTAGAAAAAAAAAAAAAAAAAGAAGAGTTCAGATTAGGATGTTAAGATACAAACACGGCTTAAACGATGAGATTAGAGAAAGTTGAATTAACAAAGTGAATCTAATCTTTATTCAGTTTAGTCTGCGACTCGAAAGTTGTTAGTTTCGTTTTGTTGTTTTTTTTTTTTTTTTTTTTTTGTGTTTTAAATAATTGAACTTTTGGTTTTCAATTTTAAAACTCATAATGTAGCCCAAATAATTAAATTTCTAAAAATGTTATATATATATATATATATATACTGAAATAAAGAGAAAGTTTAAGCTATTATCTTTGTTCAGCATTCCATTTTTCTTTTTAAAGAAAATTTTAACTTTTTTTCCTTATATTCTGTGTTTTGATTGGCCAATATAATTATTTTTTATAATTTAATATTTAATATGTAGTAAAAATAATTGATAACTTTTAAAAATTAAGCTAATTCAACTAAAACCTTATCTTTTAAAATCTAATTTAATTCAACTAAACCATATCTTTACATTTTTGAATCTAAAGTCTAGCTATATATATAGTTGAATTGAATGGAGGTTAGTTTCTTCAACTTCTATATTTTTTCAATTAAATTTTCATTTCATACTTTCACATGTGGTCAAACCAAGCCCACATGGTAAAGGCTAACTGAATTCCAAAATTTGAAGTCGAACATAACTGAAGTCGATTTTAGAATCGAACAAATTTGAACCAGTTCGGTTCAACCGATTTATTTGGTTTTTATTTAATATGTAGTAAAAATAATTGATAACTTTTAAAAATTAAGCTAATTCAACTAAAACCTTATCTTTTAAAATCTAATTTAATTCAACTAAACCATATCTTTACATTTTTTAATCTAAAAGTCTAGCTATATATATAGTTGAATTTAACGTATATTTCTACCTCAAAGGTAAGTTGAATAGAGGTTAGTTTCTTCAACTTCTATATTTTTTCAATTAAATTTTCATTTCATACTTTCACATGGGAGATTTTTTGGCTGCTGTAGGTACTCTGTTTTATTTTTTGTTAGTTTAGGTTTAACATAAGTTCTAGTAATTGTAATACTAGGTCGTATGAAATCTTAATTAACAAGTTTATAGACATTCAATTTTCCTCTCGCTGTTTTTTTTTTTCTTATGCATACGCTAGAAGATTAAGAAATCTAAGAAGAAGGAGCGGGACCCACTTTTAATATAATTTTATTTACAATTATTTTTGTTTGAGTATTAGGAAAGGGGATTTAAACCCAAATCTATTGCCGGGTCATATACGCACTTATCATTAGGCTATGCCTTAGTGTTTTTATTTACAATTATTTTGAATATATATATATTAAAAATTTAAATAAATATACCTAGATAATTTCTATTTATAGATAATTAAATACATTATCATAAAAAATTAATTTGAATACTACACAAATGATTCTTCTTCTTCTCATTTTCTTTCTCAATTAAGTGAAATTCATCTCAATTGAAATTTTAATCATGGATGCTTATGTAAACAAAGCGCGTTGATTAAAATTTTTACATTTGTCAAATGGCTAACAATTTATGCTGACAAGAGGACATACACGTTGAATAATTCCCATTAAACATATTTAATTATTTTTTTAGAGGCTTGTACAATAATTTGGTAGTGCATGATAATAACGTAAACTATAATGTTAAATAAATTATCAATACTTTTATCATCTTGCATGGATTAAAAAATTAATTCATTAATAAAAAAAAAAGAGTTGTATGGCAAGTTTGAGATAATATTTTGATTTCGTCCTAATTTTTTTACAGCCATGTTTTAGTTTAATTAAATTGTTTCTAATTAATAAGATAAAAACTATTTTTCTATTCTTTTAGCCTATTTTCTGTTTTTGGCAAAAGAAAAATTGTTTAAAAGGAAAAAGAAAATCTAAGTCTTATGTTCATTAGTAATTTTTAAATTTGAATTTATTAATTTACAACTAAATTATATAAAAGTTTAGTAAATGCATCAATAATCAATAAATTTGAGTAGGGTTACAATTGACAGGAAACTTAATATTATATTTAATGAAACTTCATTAAAACATTGTAGATTTATAATGTTGTACTATTGCAAACAATGACATACTTTTTTTTTTTTTTATTACAAATCATTTTGATATTTGCCATTATTGAATTATATTAATTAGTTTTGATTGTTATTCCTATCAATTTTATAATTCATAATATTTTATTAAAAATAATACTAGTACAAAATAATTAATAAAATAATATTTAAATATCTGCGCACAAACCACGGTTTTCTGACTAGTTGAAATTTAAAATTCAATAAAAATGAAGAGCAAATCATCATTGAAATAATAAATAATGGTGAGAAAAAATTGGAAAAAAAAGAAGAAAATGTTGAAAATTTTCCCGAGAAAAATAAAAGTAAATGTTAACATAGTAGAAAGTGTCACTCTCTCGAAGAAGTGTCATGTTAACACGTTGCAAAACTTCATATTTCTCCTGTATACAAATATATGTATACAAATATATTTAATATATATATATATTATATATAATATATAATATAATTATATATATATATTATTATATTATATATATATAAACAATATAATATTTTTTTCATATTTTTTCCACTTTTAAAGATGGTCCCACTACGTTAAAAATATAATATCTATAAATTTAAATAATCTTTCATTGAAAAAAATACAACTACTATAAATAATGTAAAAATATTATATATGCTTTAACATAAATAAATATTAAAATATTTTAATTATAATAAAAATAATAATTATCATATCATATTTTTATATTATTATTTGCTATATAAATATTATATTAATTTTAAAAATCATTATATTTATTTTTTAAAAAAAATTTATATATTTATTTTAATAGATAGATATAAACAACATTAATAACTATAATTTTTCAGACTGGAATGACATGGTCTACATCCCACCGTGGAAACAAAGTATCAAAATTTATATTATATATTTATATAGATAGATATAAACACATTAATAACTATAATTTTCAGATGGAATGACATGGCTACATCCCACCGTGGAAACAAAGTAACGTCTGGAAAATTTTTATTTATTTATTTATATTTATAATTATAATTTTTTATGGGATGACGTGGTGCCACCATGGAAACAAAGCTAAGGTCCATTAGCGAATAACCTTAATTGGCTTTTTCTAACACGTGTCAACGATGGAACGATACATGTCAACTCATGTCAGCCACTAACAGAGAAGAAAATTCCTTTCAATTTCCCATTTTGTCCGTTTACTCGTCTAGTAGTAGCTTGGATAATTTTTCTTTTTTTTCCAGAAACCTCTCGGTTCATTGATAAGAAATATAATTTGAATATATGATGATATTTTCATTGGAATAAAATTATAAATATAAAGTTAAAACTTTTTGTTTAGAGATAATTTTGGTAGAAAAATTAATATTCTTAATAAAAAAAATGATACTTCTTGAAATAGTATGATAAGAGAACTTTATACTTTTAAGAAACTTGTTACACCTAATAATAGCATAAGAGATTAAATTACCAAATTTTAGTGGAAAAACAAATGGCATTATCATGCTCCATAAAAAAATTTATCTAAATTTAAATATTTAAAGTCTCTAACTACAATCAATTGATAATTCATCTTATATTTTAAACTGTAAAAAAAAAAAGAAAAAAAATTTCATCATTGAGATTTTACAAAATTAATTAAGTCGTCATCGTATTTTAACATGTTAGGTATTTAGTTCCGAGTTTTGATTATATTTCATTAAATGGTATTTCCATCTAATTTTACTGTTTTTTTGCCATTAAATGACTAAGATTAAAATGCCTTTTGACAAGAGAAAAATTAAAACTATTATCCCTCTTCAAAACTAAAATGCCCTTTTGACAAGACTAATTTTACATCTCATATGATGCAAAGAATAGTGATTTTATCTTCTTCCATTCCATAAAAATAAGTTTCCTTTCCTTTCAAATTATATGTTATTTTCGTTTTTGAAAATAAAATGAATTTTTTTATTCTCTAGTATACCTTATTCAATGCGTCTGACGAAAATTATAACATATATGAACTTCTAAAAATAAAATATAATTTGATTATTGTAAATAATTTTAAAGGAATTAATTTTATTTATTGTTTGAGATGGGAAAGTACTTTCTTATGGGTAGAAAAGTAGAAATATGGATACCCATTAAATTCAGGAACTGAATTTCCCTAAGAACGTAATAAAAAAAAAAAAAAAAATTGCATGCCAATCAAAACATCAAAGTTTTACTTTCTCAAATTACTTTTTTTTTTTTCGAGATTCGGCCAATGAGATGTTATCCTAACTACATAATCATATATCAAATTAAAACGAAAAAAAATATCAATGTCATATTTATACGCCCTTCATCCTACAAACATAGAGTATTTTTCTTTTTCATTTGTTCCGAATTATAAACCAATAGCCACTCTCCTTTTTTAAAATACAACTAATTTCTTGATTATGTAGTATATTCTTATTTAATATGTTTTATTATCAACAATTTTTCATTTGATTCCTTATTGAAAGTAACATCTAATATTAATGTTGGGGTATATTAGGATAATGTTTGAGTGGAAGTATGTAGATTAGGGAATTATAATTTTCCGAAAAGTGCAAAAAATATTTGTTTAGTTTGCATCAATTACTTCTTGATAAATAGATCATCTAACTTCCTTTGTTTTCTCGGAGATGGCTAGGAAAGTTGCACTTCCTTGATTAAGTATAACAAATTTATCAATTTGTTCTGTTATCTAAATACTTTTAAAATTTGGCTAAATGCTAAAACAAATATAAAGTTTGGTCATTTTTACAATTTTAGCCAATTCTTTTAATTTTGGCAAATGAACTTATTTTTTCATTGCAATTATAGCCTTCGTTATATATTTGTTAACACCGTTGGTGCCACATCAGTAAAAAAAAGTCACATAATTGAAAAAAGCTTGAGCTTTGGTTATTTTTGCAATTTTAACGAATTCTTTTAATTTTGACAATTGATATCATATAAATTTATTTCTTTCTTTCGATTTTTTAGATTTTTAAATTTTATTTATTTTTAAAATAAATTATTTTGGGTTACAGTGATTTATTTTTTCATTTTCAAAATTTCAAATTTAAGTTAAATGAAAAATATATATTGTATTTGTTTGTTATAATGTTGTTTTAGTTTTTTGAAATTAAATTCTTACTTCTGCATAATACGTTAATTATTAATTAAGTGTGTAATTAAATAATTAACTTTAAATAATAATTTTTACATGAAATAGGTTGTAATTAGGAGAATCATTAAAGAAAATTTTAATTTTATATTATTAAACTATAACTATTTATGTATATGCAAGTACCGTAAGACAATTCATATAACATTTTAAAAATTAAAAAGAAAAAAAAAGGCTAAAATTGTAAAAACAGACAAAATTCAGGCTTTTTTTTGCTGATGTGGCAAGTGACACAGTGTTGATGTGTCAAAATATGAGTCTCAATAATGGCAACATCAACAATTTTGTAACACACATAGGACGGAAGCTATAGTTGCAACCAAAAAATAAAGTCTTTGTTGCAATTTTTAAAATTAAAAGAATAGGCTAAAATTGTAAAAATAATAAAAGTTTAGAATTTTTTATAATTTAACCCTAAAATTTATCTTTTGTAATGTGAGAGCAATTTACTTCTTGGGAAATTAATTTATATATCAAATACATTTAAATTATATTTCTGATAAATAATTTATTTGAAGTGTATCTTAACGAGAAGTAATAGGTTATTTTGAACCAAATGAGACCTAGCATAAATATAAATAAAGTTTGCTGTAAATTTAGATGCAGAAAGTGCAAATATAGGTCATTTTATATTAAGAAGAATCACAAAATACTAAGTTGACATTTCAACTTTATAGATTATATCATTAATTTAATTTATAAATTTGATTGGAACCTATATAAATTTAGATGCTGAAAGTGCAAATATACCCATGAAATCTGCTGAGGTACTACTCTTCTCTTGGCCTTTTTGGTAAAATCCAATATAATCTTTATGGTATGCATATAGTATGAAAAGCAAAGTAATTTAACAAATGAAGACCAAAGAATGGGTGAATAGAAGACTTAAATTTTGGCATTATCCAAAACAATAGTTAATTAAAGAAAGGATCATGGAATTTGCTACAATTCCACCCATTGTCATTAAGCTCACACAATTTTTAATCCAAACATATAGAATTAATAGTTAATTATAAAAATTATGTGATTCAATATAGTGATAATTGAGATATATAGTTTACTTGGTTCTTGCATAATTATTATAAAGAGGAATTATTGAATTTAAATAATCTTTTGGGTAAGAAGAAAATTTCATAACTTCTAGTCATCCAGACTTAATTCAAAAGATTAAGGTTGAGTCCTAGTTCTCAATTTGATTCTTATTTACATTGAATAATTTAGAATTTATTTATATTTAAATTATACCATATGGAAGGGTTTATTTTGCTTTATAACCATATTTTATTTAAGTCTCATTAGATGGTAAATATTTCTCAGAACAAAGAGTGTGGACAATATTTTTTGAGATAACATTTAACATTTTGAGTAAGGTGACACTATCTCTATTATTTAAGCGTTGATGAATGTTCGATGATGTGGAGTTTGTAGAAAGTACTTAGAATTTAAAGGAGTTAGATTGAAAAATATTACCTGCTTTAATGTTTGTGTTTGATGGTTAAAGAATTGACAACTACCCACTTTAGTGTTTGTATTTAATAGTTAAATAGCTGATGACTATTAAAATAATTAAAAAAATATTAAAACCACTAATTTTGTGAAAATAGACCCTTAATTTAAAGTTATTTGTATATACCACTTTAGTGTTTGTATTTAATAGTTAAAATAGCTGATGACCTATTAATTAATTAAAAAAATTATTAAAAAACTATTTTGTGAAAATACCTTAATTTATAAGTTATGTATATATAATATATATATACTATATAATTAATTTAGTATATATAGTAAGCTATCAATCAATTAAGCATAAAGCTGATAAATATCTATTTGTACATAAAAGTGAAAGAGCAAGATTCTTGATGAGTTACTATAGATTATAGAAACCCAATCAAAAACCTTTTGACTTATGCAAATGTTTCTTGTAAGGATCTTATCATCTTATTTTTTTATAAACACAAGTACCACACCAACTGATGTGGATGGGACATGTTTGGATTAACATATTAGTTTCACTTTACCTTTTTTCTTTTCTCTAATATAATAAATTTTTGCCAAACAACCCCAACAATGAGTCTTATAAACCTAAACCCAAAGGGCAAGTGTCCTTCCAATCTCTGAATCTCCTACTAGACCCTTACGTCAGAGTTTATCCATTCACACTCATTATCCAAAATAAAAAAAAATCAAAAATTAATACAATAAGTTATTTTTTCTCTATTTATTAAAATTAAAAGAAATCCTTGGAAAATACAAAACCTAAACCCGAGGCCAATTCTGCTACTTCCTTCTGCCACATCTCTCTCTGTTTCAAACATATTTATATACACAAAAAAAAAAAAAAAAAAAAAAAGACAAGAAAAAAAAAAAAAAAAGAAGAAGAAGAGTAGAGGGAAAAGGTCATGAAAAGGTCTGCCAATGGAGTTTACTTTACTAGGATTTAATTGATTTATCTTTTATTATCTTTATTTAGAGATTCAAATCTTCTCTATCATCATTTAATCGCACAGAAGTTTTTAGTCTGGCAAATTCACCACATTAGCTTCTCTAGAACACTCAAGAAAAAAAAAAAAAAAAAAAAGAAAGAAAAGAAAAGGGAAAATCACTGAAAAGTCTGTCCAAAGGGATTTACTTACTAGATTTAATTAATTTATCTTTTTATTATCTTTATTTTAATTCCAAATCTTCTCTATCATCAATTTATCCACAGAATTTTTATCTCCAAATTCACCACCATTAGCTTCTCTAAACACTCAAGAGCTCACAATCCATCAAATACTGTTTTATAATAAAAAAAAATTCAAGAAAGCGAAAGAAGAAGAAGGAAAAAGGTTGATGATGGAAATGTATTGTTAGGTTCTTTTGTTTTTTCTATGTTTTAGATTCTTTCACTGCACCAAGAGGCATATCCAATGGATCTCATACAACCGGTTCAGTGCACTCTAATTTTTACTGTTTCTTGTTCTTCTTCTTCTTGAATCTCGGTTTATTGGTGTTTTTTTTACGCATGATTTTGGGTTCTTGCGTTGGTTGTGGATTGTTATTTATTTATTTATTTTCAATTTTTATGGTGAGATTTGGGTTGGGATATATATAGAGAAGAGAAAAGGAGCTTTTTTTTTTTTTTGGTTTTGTGTAGTAATGGTGTCTGCAAATGACCCGATGGAATCATTTCTCAATTCATTTCAAGTGGTGAAAGATGCTCTCTCCCCACTTGAACTTGGGATTAGAAAAGCAGCTGAAGATCTTGAGAGTTGCTGGGGAATTTCCAAGAATAATAGTAGGGCTAATCATCTCGAATTGAATTCTATTGATAATAGGAACCTTAACACCAAGGTTCAGATCTGTACTGTGAAAAAGAAGATTACTGGCAATAGTGATGGTAATAACAGGAACTCCGTAGTGGGTGAAGATAGAAAGAAAGGTCTATCAATTAAAGTTCCTATAAGAACTTTGTTAGGCATGTTTTCACCTAACCCGGAAAATGATATTAACAAGGACAATGGAAATAGCAAAGTTGGGGTGGTGAAGAAGGGGTTGAAAGAGAGGGAAATGGGAAGTGAAGATGGGTCTTGTGCAAATTGTTTGCAGTTTGCAGTTACTTGGTCTTTGGTAGTCAGTAGTTTTGTTCAGGCATTTCCTAGTCCTTTCAAAACGAGCAAGAAGCGGTTTCAGAAATTAGGTGATGATGATAAAGGTCATTTGCATTTATGCAAAAATGGATTAAAATCAAAGCTTTCAAGTGAATTGAAGCCAAGGGAATCAAGAGATCAATATGCTGAAGCAGTTCATAATGGGAATGAGAATGATAAAGAAGGGAAACATGTACCGCTTGAATGCTTTGTAGGTTTTATTGTTGATCAATTAGCTCACAATATACAGAAATTTGATCAGGTTTTGCAGCAAACAGAAAGCAAAGGATGTGATTATGATTACTCAACTCCAAAACCAGCATCTTCCCAGTTTGATCATTTGAAGGCAATCATGAATATTTGGGAAGGTAGAAAGGTGGATGTAAATGGGTTTTTGGGGAATTTGAAGTTTGCTAGAGTAGGAGGTGTACCATCAAGTATAGTTGGAGTATCTTCTTCAGTCAATGAAGAGGGTGAGGATGGTATAAGTGCTGCCACGGGGGAGGAAACTGGGGGTAGTTCACCGCAAAAGCTGGCCAGTGGCTTACTCAGTATTCCCTTGTCGAATGTTGAGCGTTTGAGATCCACATTGTCTACAGTTTCATTGACGGAGCTAATTGAGCTTGTGCCACAGCTGGGGCGGTCTTCTAAGGACTATCCTGACAAGAAGAAACTGTTCTCTGTCCAGGATTTCTTTAGATACACAGAGTCTGAAGGTGTGGTTTCTTGTCTATTGAGGCAATAAATTCACTGCTTTCTTTTCTATTTCTTCTTTTATTTGCCTTACTTAAAAATGGAATGTCTAAATGAAAGATGATACGCATACTTGCTTTTTTTTTTTTCCCTGGTTGGAGAATGTATGACATATATTTGATTGTAAGTAAACTCAAAATGAGCTGCATGAAGCTTATTTTCCCGTATGTGCTTCAAGAATGAACCAGAATGAATCATTTTCGTTCATTTTGAAGAATGCAAAATTGTTTTCTAGAGCATCTATCTTCTAGTATGATTCAATCGATCTGCTTCAGAGCACTAATGAACCTTTTATTTCAAACTGCAGTTTAGAGTAGATTTACACTTTTTTTTTTAGAAAAAAAAATTTCTTTGGTAACTTATTCTTGCTATATTTGTTGAAAGATTTATAGTTCTGTTGACTTTATGGTGAAGAATCTCATGTTAGAGTAGAATTTTCCATCTGTTATCTTAATGCATGCTTATGACATGGAATCTGATTTTTGAGACCATTGCATAATTCCACAACTCATAGTTTGGTATTTATACATGACGAGGTTTAGCCTCTTATTCCATTTCACAAAAAATTTAAAGAGACATTCTTCTTTTTCTTCATTTTCCAGTCATTCACTATTCAAAAATAATATATCTTGACCGTGAATTTGCAAATCTTCGTGAATTTTATTCTTCTTGTGATTTTATCATACTGTTATTAGACATTTGTTTTGTTGTTAGTGTTAACGTCTTTATGAGTATGTATTTGGTGCTCTTAAGTGTTAGTATCAGTTATTATCATATGATGAAGTTGATGGGAGAAGGAACTGATCACGAGGTCATTTGTAGTTCATGCGTTTTTTGAAGGCTTCAAGCCTTTAACAAATTCTTGCAACTTAAAGCAAACTTGAATTACTGTGGAGAGCTGTAATAACCATTTTTATTCAAATTTGAATCAATTTTTTAAGAGCACTATTCTTTCTGGATGTTCTCATAACTTGCTCAATGAATTGTCGTTATTTTTCAACTATCCATTCTTGAGCCCCTATTAAGAAATCACAATAAACTAGAAGGAAAAGCTATAAGGGAAGGAGCATCAATCATCTGATTATTTATCTTTTAATGGATTTGTGACTATATTACGTTCTTTTGTTTGTGCACTCATATGAAAATGTTGTTCTCATTTTAGTTCATGCATTCTGACAGGAAGGAGGTTCTTTGAGGAACTGGATAGAGATGGTGATGGTCAAGTAACTTTGGAAGATCTTGAAATTGCAATGAAAAGGAGGAAATTGCCACCAAGGTATGCTCGGGAGTTTATGCAGCGTGCTAGAAGTCACTTATTTTCAAAATCATTTGGTTGGAAACAATTTCTGTCCTTGATGGAGCAGAAGGAACCAACCATTCTTCGTGCTTATACTTCTCTCTGTTTAAGTCAGTCTGGAACCCTGAAAAAGAGTGAAATATTGGCATCACTTAAGAATGCTGGACTTCCAGCAAATGAGGACAATGCTGTTGCTATGATGCGATTTCTGAATGCTGACACAGAAGAATCTATTTCTTATGGACATTTTCGGAATTTTATGCTGTTGCTACCTTCTGATAGACTTCAAGATGATCCTAGGTAAAATGTTTTTGCTCATTTTGATAGTTATTTTAAAGAAGTTTGGTGCAAATGTATTTAGCAAGTTATAATCATATTTTCTTTCATCTTGGTAATTGGCAGCAATGTAAATAGGTGCTCAATTACAGTAATTACTCTCTGCATTTTTTTTAAGAGCTCAGCGACAGTTACATCATTTCTAGATAGTCAACCCACAGCTTGAAAGTGTACGAAATTATGTAATGAAATTGCAATAGAGAAACTTTGGCTGTTATAAAACATAATAGTTCTTCCATTACCCTTCCTCTTTCTTCCCACCTTCACAGCTCCTTATTGTCCATCCAATCTGTGTAGGCATAGTATCATACTTGCCTGATTACATTTTACTAATACTGGCTTCTTCTGCGTGCAGGAGCATATGGTTTGAAGCTGCAACTCTTGTTGCTGTTCCACCACCTGTGGAGATACCAGCTGGAAATGTTCTAAGATCTGCATTGGCTGGGGGCCTATCATGTGCATTCTCTTGTGCTCTAATGCATCCTGTTGATACGATAAAGGTAAGCTCTTCGTCTTGAGAGTCATGCAATCATTTGCTTGTATTTTTAGAAAAAATACGCCAACGGAGGATGGGATGGGAAGAACAATTATGATGTCCTGCATTGGGTGCGACACCTCTGTTGTACTTCTTTCAATTGATGATTGAAAGTCACTGGCTAATTATGCGCACTTAAAGTTGTGTTTTTTATCTAGTATCATCAGGATTTTGTTGAAGAGAATAATCTTTTTATGAATTTCTGTCTTATAGCGTAACATGTTACAGATTAGCCCCCGTCAGCCTTGTTTTTGAACTGCAATTTAGATTGAGGAAGCTATGGTGCCAGAATCTATTTCTTGTTATGATTCATAGTTATTTACCTTATGCTCATTACTTGGTTAAATCATAGTTGTCAAAGGTGTGCCTCAGTCTGAAGCTCAAGCCCCTTGAACGGTCTCTGGCCTGGCTCTGTTTCTGTGGTGTGCATGTAGGCATATAGGCACCCACCTTTAAGGAACGCTTTGATTTCCATCTTTTAGAGGCCTAAGGGATTTTCCCTTTTTAATTTTACTGTGTCAGCTACTTTTACTTGTGCTGTTTGTTACTTTATGATTATGTTGATAAAATTAATGCAATTGCATAGAAATGGACCTTTTTACAAGGTTAATATTGCCATGTGATTGGGTCTTCTAATCGCGATTCTAAGTTGTCACTCTTGCTTCTATTAAACTCTAAGTGTCTGGACTGGCATCAAATACTCATGCTATAGGGTTAGGGCTGTTCTCTTTGAAATTATAAATTAGAAAGTGAATAATTGAAAGAGAATGGAAGAAGAAGAAGCATCAGATGTGTGGTCTTCCTTGCACTCTAGTGGACATATGACTTATGTTGAACTAGTTATCTTCTTTGTAGTATTCTTCTGTTCTGTCATGAATTTCTGAATGTTTTTGTATTAACTTGTAGTACGTATAAATTTAGACGTTAAGTATTTTTATATTCATTTTAATCACATGTGCCTCAATCTCTCAAATGCGCTCATGGACCTTGCACCAAGGTCCCAAGTACCTTGCGCCTTACGCCTTACACCTTTTATAACCATGGCTTAAATTTACATTTATTAATTAACAAAAATATAAACACATGGGGTAAAAATTTTATGCATGATGTGCTTTTTTTTTTTTTTTTTTTTTTTTTTTTTTTTTATTTAACTGTATACGTGATGAGAATTTAGACGTAAGTATTGTTTATATTCGTTTTAATGGGCGACATGGTGGCCTCGAATCTCTCAATGCGCTCAGGGGACCTTGACGAAGGTGTCCAGTACCTGTGGCGACTTGACGCCTTACACTTTTAAACGGCAGTGGCGTTAGAGATTTAATTATTATTAACAAAAATATAACAGGCATGGGTAAAGAGAGTTTATGGCGATGATGCTTTTTTTTTTTGGTTTTTTTTTTTTGTTTTGGGCGCCCCTGGAGAAAGGGCGAAGTGTGCAATTGTCTTCTTGTTGGAGGTGAGATTACCAGATATTGGTGCACGCTAATGCTCGTTGGTCTGGTATGGGCTGATTCATTCCAGTAGCTTTGATGGTTTTTTCAGTTCAAGTTGGGTCACTGCTTTTTTTTTTTTTTTTTTTTTTTTTTTTTTTTGGCCCCCTGAAAAGAGAAGTGTGCAATGTCTCTTTTGAGGTAATTACCAGATATTGGTGACTAATGACTCTTGGTCATGTATGGGATATTCATGTCCAAGTACTTTGTGGTTTTTTCAGTCAAGTTGGTCACTGCCTTCTGGAAGAGTGTGGTCTTCCCTTCATTTTAACTTGTGTTTGATCATTAAAAAGGTTTATGATAATTTTGATATCTAATGTATTGGAGTGCCTACTCGAAAGAGAATGCAGGATCCATATTAACTTCTTTTCAAATATTAATTTATGCTTTAATGTCTATAGCTAGGAGACAAATGATTTTGCTGATGTCTTTTCGTGGTCTATTTTTCGTGTTCTCTTAGACTTGGATTAAAGTGTCTCCTTTTGACCACTGAAAAAGTTTATGATGTACTTTCAAAATGGAATTCTGTCATTTTATTATGCAGGATGCTTGTAAACTTCTTTGACAATTATTGCATGCATTAATGTACATAAACAGGAGATTCAATGTGGTTTCTTGAATTGCTGATGTCTTCTAATATTCTTTTCTTTTTTTTTTCCCTACGGTCTCTTAGACTCGGGTGCAAGCATCAACCACTGTTACTTTCCCAGAGATCATTTCAAAGCTTCCAGAAATTGGAGTTCGGGGTGTATACAGGGGTTCGATCCCTGCCATTCTAGGACAATTTTCAAGGTCCTTATTTTTCCTTTCTACCCTTTCTTGAATGCAACTACTTTTCTATCTGGCTGACATATGACATTGCAGCCATGGCCTGCGAACTGGGATATTTGAAGCTACTAAACTTGTGCTAATAAATGTTGCTCCGACCCTTGCAGACATACAGGTTATTGTTATTATTTTGCTGCTTTTTTTTAATTCCTATAGAACATGTAAATTTCTTATTTTCTCTTCTGGTTTCTCAAGTGATATTTGATAATAAAAATACAACTCTAGTGATAACTGAGAGCATAATTTCTTTAATGCAACTGTTTGAATACCCAAGGGTTATGCTTGAGCATAAATTTCAATTGTACTAAGATCTCTGCTTCCAGAGTTCCCATTAAGTATACCAAGACAACAACATTATTTTCTTCGCTGATTTGTAGATTATCACTGTAAAGAGTCATTCTGTGTTTAGGAGGCATGCTGGATCAGTGTAGTTGCTAGCATTTAAACATGCTCCTTTTTCCCTTTAATTTAACTGTGAAATCTATGTTATCATATTTAGTTAAAGAGTTTTCCTATTCTAAAGGACATCACTCTTTCCCAACTTAAATAGCGATGCGGTAAAAGTAGTTCAGTTAACCAGTTATTATTATGTTAATAATGCTATTCATGCCATTGTGATGTATTCTCCTTCCATTTATAGCTAATAGATACTTTTCTGCGTTGGGGTATTTGGATTCGCACTTTCATTTCTGTGCATATATGCAGTCCATAAACGAAGACTAACTCAAAGATTATTCTAACATACTCTATCTTCCAATATGGCTTTGACAAGAGAAGATGATTTGTGTTGGTTGCGACATTTATTAGTCTGCTAGAGCCTTCTGCATGTTCATATTGGATTCAAGTGCTGTTAAGTTTATTTTAGATTTTGCTACTTTCAGGTTCAATCTGTAGCATCATTCTGCAGCACATTTTTGGGGACAGCAGTTCGTATCCCATGTGAGGTACTGAAGCAGCGTTTGCAAGCAGGTCTTTTTGATAATGTAGGGCAGGCTATCATTGGAACTTGGCAAGCAGATGGTTTGAAGGGGTTTTTCCGTGGGACTGGTGCCACACTTTGCCGTGAGGTTCCATTTTATGTTGCTGGAATGGGCCTATATGCTGAATCCAAAAAGGTAAGAAGATTTCTGTATACCAACATTTGATTTTCACTTAATAATTCAATTTGATATTTCAAAGGCGTAGAATTCCATTTTTATCATGTCAAAACAATGAGAATTCTCCTCATAATCGGGTATCTACTCAAAGTAAATTCATGTTGCGAACTGTGTGGTAACACTGGTATTTTATTAATTGCTTAAAGTTATACAAGTGAACAAAATGCTGATGATTATACAAGCAGGGAGTAATTATTATTTCTTGACTTATATCATAATTTTAATAGCTGTTCAAAGGAATGAAGTTATGCGTACAGAACCCTCGGAGGAAATTAGGTAGATCATGACTATATGATGTTCAAAGAATTAATCTTCAAGCTTACCCAATGCCATAATTGCCCTGTGCAAAATTTTCTGTTGGAAATTAGTCTTATGTAAGAAAAAAAGGGCGATCCGTGGAGCATCCCACATATATGATCATAAATCTTCCATCTGCATAATAGTTTTCTGCAGAAGAAAACTCATTTTTAACAGATTGAGATGTTCAAAAACTAATTCGGGTACTTGAAGAACATATTTGCAGATATAATGCCAAAGGAATCACTCTAGAATCCATTTGGAAAGACATGGACAAGAAATTCATTTTGTTTATAGAAATCATTTGTAATTTCACATACAGCATGATATATTAATAAATCTGAAATTCAATTGTAGACCATCCTATTTCCTAAACGCTACATGTAATGGATTCTTTAACTAAATAAGAAAGGGTGCTGAAATATATTTAATTTTGCAGTTTAATTGGTATATAGTTCATTTGCAAACAATTCTAAAAGTTTTATAAGATTGAAATTCTACAATTGTATAGACTACTTTTGAGATTCTAAACATGACAAATATGGAATGGCAATGGAATTCTACAAAAAAATTTTGAATCGATTTGTCATGAATACTGTGCTGTGACTTACTACCAGTTTGTCAAACAACTGATGTGATACATGTTGAAAATATATCATTTCCAGGAGTAGCTCCTGATTCTCAATGTTGTCTGTAAATTTCTAATTATTGTTGTGCATGAGAACCAGTTAACAGTTGTGTTACATTTGATATTAGGACATATAATTTTTGTGCATTATTTCTGTTACAGTATTTTCGCTGTACACTTCCATTTAATTTTGTGCTGAGTAATTATTGTGCTTTTTCCAGGCTGTTCAGCAAGTTTTAAGACGGGAACTAGAACCCTGGGAAACAATTGCTGTTGGGGCTTTATCTGGAGGACTAGCGGCTGTTGTGACTACCCCTTTCGATGTGATGAAAACTAGAATGATGACTGCACAGGGTAGATCCTTACCAATGTCAATGGTAGCCATCTCTATACTCCGTCGTGAGGGACCCCTTGGCTTATTCAAAGGAGCCGTACCAAGGTTTTTCTGGATTGCCCCCTTAGGCGCCATGAACTTTGCGGGTTATGAACTAGCAAGGAAGGCCATGGATAAAAATGATGAAGCAACAAATGATCAGCTGTCTCGAAAGAAGTTGACTAATTCGGTGTAGCCTTTTGAAAGTTAAAACTGCATCTGCATCTTTCAGAGTCTGGTTTTTCATTTAGTGAATGCTGCCGGAAAATTTTGTGCACTTTCTGAATTTTCAGCAGCATATATGTCGAATACCATCTGCCGACAAGCCTTTTAATTTTCCTTTATACACATTGTATTTTTCCAGATAGTTTTGTTTCAAAATTTGTTGGTCTATTGGGGAATGGCTGCTCAAATCTTTTTGGCTTAATCTTGTATCTACTTCATTGGTGTACATTCGATGTCCAGTTAATTTTGTTCTTTCCTTAACCTGAACCCTTTTGTATTAATTGTAGATCTCTTTTGGAGCTAAACTCTTTTAAATGTTTTAAAGTCTAATTTTTTAGCTACAAAACTTGAAAGCATCGAGAATGGTTTTATTATCTAGAAATATCATTCCTTTATAAATCAGTTTATAGTGGAAAATTATGGAGACATTTCTAATTCCCAGTAACACCACGAAACTTGTAGAAAACAATATAACAAGTGAGATTTTGGTTTGATTAGCCTACAACTTGATTTGCCAAATTGGGATTGAATTGAATTTTATAGTATTGTCATAAAAAAAGAAAAAAAATTTGTAAATCGGTTAGAGATTATTATTACAACAATTCTATACGCAAAGAGCGGGGGTGGCATTGATAGAATTTCTGATTAGTGAGCTGCTCACACAAGGATTATTGGTACAACAACTGGAACGGTTGTACCCTCACATGCACACCCTTTCATTCATTCATAGTTCTAATTTTTATGACCACCACTACTGTCTCGATCCGTCACTTTGAGTCCGACCGGCACTAGGACTGACGGGCTTAAGACCTCTTCCCTAATAAGCCTTAAACAGAAATGTATCGACAACACTGTACACAACCACTGCATCAATGATCTCGAGTAACAAGGCTGTTAAGCCATTTCAAAAAATACTCAAAAACCCATCTCGTGGGTCCATTTTGTCTATTCCATTAATTTCATAAATAATTTACAAATTTATTAAACATTCAAAGATTCAATTTCATAAATATTATATCCCTCGTAGAAAACAATTGCTTACGTACTCCGATTTCTATATGTATTTGTAAATAAAGACTATAGCTAGCTAGAATTTCCTTCGTCGGAAGCTTAATGTAGACGCCGTTATGGTATACCTTCTCTTCAGAGCTTTCTTTATCAATACAAAATTTTTGCCATATGCACGTTAATAAAAGCTATTATAATAATTATTGATCGTGATTTGCAAAGAATAAAAATGAGAACAAATTATATTCTTTTAAATTCATAAATGTGATACTTATTTTTGAACATGACATTTTCACAAATGTGAAAGTTATTTTTGGATGAACGGAATACAAAAATAATTAGAGATGAAAGCGGCGCGAATAATTAGAGATGAGAGCGGTACACGTATTTTAAAGTATGTGCCCCACTCTGATCTACTTAAAAAGAATATATGGATAGTTGTAAATAAGTCCGCTCTGATTTGTTTAAAAAGAATATGAGTAGTTATAAATAAGTTTGAGATGAATATGAATAGTAAAATTACTACCCGTAACGGATAGGGTATGAGTATAGATTTTTGGAGACCCACCTTCCTTTACCCGCTATATTTAGATTGGATAGTGCGTACCACGGTGTCATATCCATTATTAGTAAAAAAATATTATTTCCATCATTAGTAAAAAGATATTTTAAATAAATTATAATTTGGATAATTTAAACTTTGTGAGTATTCTATTTAAGGGGTATTTTAAACGAGTTCTAAACGGTACGGGTAGTAAAATTTAAACAGATATGAATATGATTAGTTTAAAATTCCCGGGTACTTGAACCGCTTAATGGTAAAATGAGTTCAACAATGAATTTTTCTTATAAAGTTGAGGAGTTAATTTAAAAAATTTAGCGAAAAATTCGTGCCCAAAAGGACCTGAAAATATACTTGGTAGCCACATCTAACTTCTAAGAAAAGAAATACATTATTTTTACCACATTCTTTTTTTTTTTTATTTAAAAATCAAATATAAATATTATTGATAAAAATCAGCAATATCATTTAGAATTGAGTTCCAAACGTGAAGATTAGCATTATTATATAATGTTCTGGCCAATATATGAGTATTCATATTCACTTGTCGATGCACCAGTTAACAGAAATATCCAACCTGTTAGATAAAATAAACTTCCAATCCTGTGTAACAGAACCTAATTCTGACAAATCGAATGAACTAGAACACAATGCATGAAGAACGAGTTGTGAATCAACATAAACACAACAAGCTCCCAAGAAACCGTACTGCAGCCATTGCAGACACGTTCCCAAAGCCATGGCCACCATCAAGAAATATTATTCTTACCACATTCAAAAAGCCTAGGTTTTCATAAGTTTAACACACACACACACACACACTCACTTTACTTTAGAAGCTATTCTGAAATATTAAAATTGCAATTTCAAGTTTGAAGTTACATGAATTCAATTGCACCAGGCTCATAAACCATTATAATTGATTCATGATTTCCTAAAATCATATAGTATTATTATTTATTTTTAAATTAAATTAATGTTGCTCTTAGTTTACATAGTATTTGAAAATTTCTTACAGAAACATTCAATTCAATTATTTCAATGCATTGAATTCTTACACTAGTTTTTCCAACCCAACCCTTAATATCGGATAATATCCAAATCAATTGGGCAAGAACATGATACAGATCATAGCAGAAAAAACAGAGCTTAAAAGGATTGATTATTTATGCTGATTGAACAAGAGCATAATCTTCATAAAATTATTCTTGCTTTCTGACCTGAAATCTAGCATTTGACATGGACATTTTAGAAGCTCAAAGCTCTACAAATTGAGAGCAATCGAAATAGGAAGAAAGAATTTGTTGATATTTATTATCGTGAAAAGAACAAGGACATGTTAAAGTGCCTAATTTGGCAGGGGATTGATTTGGTGTTATAAATACCAGCGTCGTCAATAGCCCCAGTAGTCGTTACGAATTTCATCATCAAACTTCTTCTTTAGCTCTGGATGTTTCTCGAAGTACTCATCAGCAGTCATGGTGCTAAGCTTTTTCTGTTTGAATCGATATCCAAACATTATAATCAAAGGCCAATAAGATTGAGACAATCATTTAACATTCTTTATGTTTACCTTTAATTCTTGAACTTCTGCAATTTCTTTGTCCAAACGCTCCGACTCTTTTAGGGAAATCTGCTCTGCTTCTTTCAATTCGACCAACTACAACCCAAATAAAAGAACAGATTATGAGAGAAAGAGAGAGAGAGAGAGAGAGATTGAGGAAGATTCATACAGAGAGATGAAAATTTGAATTGGACAGTTGGTTCCCACCAATGCATCAAATTTAGGCTTGTACTGTGGAGTAACTGTGTCCACATACTTAGGGATCTCTATGCCTGAAAGAGAAAATATAAGAATGGGCTCAAATAAGCATTCTATTATCGTCATAGAGAAAATACTGCAGTATGTGATGCAGGGTCAATTCTATAAGGACCAAGCATTGCTATTAAGCTTAATACATAGCAAGCAAGAAAATTGGGATTTAACAAGTGAAACTTAGGACAAAAACTAAGACTATCAACTCAATGAAGCTGCATGTGACATAAAGGCATCAATGCGCAGAAACAGAACAATGGAAAATTCTCATAAAGAAAAGAACATGCAAAAAGAAATAAAAAAAAAAAACTCTTAAAAATCTTGCAGAACACAGAAAAATGACATGAGTTATTGATGGATACATGAAAGTTGTAGGAGATGGATTTAGTGGAAATGCTAGGACTTCAGATGACTTGGTTATATGATGAGAAGAAACTGATCTTATGACGTAAGAAATGTTCAACATTGCATTTTGAACCATCTTGTTAACAAAAAACAACAAGAAAAAACCAAAGATGTTTATACAAAGAAGCAATTACACACTATATTTAAGATGTTCAAGAATGTTGTAGAAAAAAAAAAATGCCATACATAATTTTAGTTGTTTTTAATTAGAAGATATAAACACGTTGCTCCTCTCAACAATTGCAGCAGCAATGCCAAAAGATGTCTAAATTTGGTAGATGATTAGAAAATTCAAAAGCTTCCAAAAGTTGGAATAAAGCTTATATAGCACAAGTAGAATATGTAATGCAATGTAACAGGCAAATTGGCAATAAGTATGTCCACACTTCCAACACATCATCCTTTAGAACCTCTTAAAACTTAAAAAGGAAAGAGTTGATCTATAACTAATAATAGGAATATTACAAAAAATATTTCGAAGTTTATTACTTCATTGACGCAACATTTTTTTACCTCCTAAATCTAAATGAATTTGTTACTTACATTGATGTCACTTCAAAGGTAATGACAAATCTAAATGAATTTGTTACTTACATTGATGTCACTTCAAAGGTAATGACTACGAGGAACTTTCTTCTATGCTGTTACAAGGAATTACTAGGCAATTTCACTCTCATCTTAATATGAGCCATGCAAGCTTAAGTCTAATAATTAACTTCCTAGAAATAATATCAGGATAACTACACCTAAGGCATGTAAAGGTCAACAAGCATTAGATAGTAGAAATTATATAGAGTGGATCGAAGTAATCAAACATTTGCTAATAACAGAAAAAACTTACTGTCATAAGCCTCTTTGTACATATCCACTAAGCGCGAGCCGATACTTTTCCTATAGAACTCCCATTTTATGGGTTCAGGTTCCTGCACAAAAGAGAGAATCAATAATCCTGTAAAGTACACCTAAGATAATAGAAAAAAGCGAACCAGCGAGATGAAATCACTGGCAATGACAATTCTGACAATTCTGACTTTCAAAAAGCTGTCTTTAGAAGACAAAAATCCATATTTCAGTTGCAACAAAGTAAATTTGGAACCATAAATGATCCAATTTCCCATCTTAATAATGGAGAATACAAAAAATCAAAAACAACAATCCAAAGCATAAGAAATTACATGTAACAATACTAACAGAAGAAAAATGAGACCTAGAAGCAAAATCCTTGCTGAATATCAACAAAGTGTAAAATAAATAAATAGACAAAATCCAAAGAAAGACGCATTTGATCGAGAGAGAAGATACCTGGCTGAACTTGGTCTGGAGAGTGGAATTAACCTCATCAAAAGCGCGACGGAGCGAGGCGAACTCCTTTCGAGTCTCATCGGAGACGAAAAACTTTGCCATCGCTTCCCATTCTATGTTTCTCGATGCTTTAAATACCACGTCTGTCACTTTCTTTGCTGTTCCGCTCATTTTCGTTCGCTTTCCCTCACTTTCACAGTCGCCAAACAAATATTTTGGCCTTTGGTTTTTCTGTGAATGTGTCACCAACACTCACCTGCTGCTGTAGGAGATGCACTTGTTTTGAAGACTAACACGGTATCGTTTTGGATTGTTTGGAAAACCTAATGGCTATGCTAATGGGCTTAAAAGTGGTCTGAGTTCTTCAAACAAGCTTAGCCTGCTTTGAGCTTTAGTGGTTTATGACTCTCCCATCCTATAATTCTTGTCCAATTTTATTTTTTCATCGGTTTCAAATTATTATCATTTTTTCTATTTTAGAAGTAAATAGTATTTAAAGTTTATTATTTTTATATTTGTTTATCAATAAATAATAATCAAACTACTACAGGCTATTTAGTTCAGGGATTCATACCAGTGACAGTCAATAGCAAATAACAGTTGCTGATAAATGGTGGCTGATAGCTGATAGCGATTAACTGATGAATATCTGTATTTGGTAAAATTTTCATAGTGGTTGTTAAAATATAAAACCATCATTAACAATATAATACACACACACACATATATAAAATTAAAATTTCTAAAATAATATTTAATAAAAAATGTTTATTTTTAAAATAACTATAAATAAAAATTATAAAAATATTAATTTGAAAAAATAATTTTATTTATTAGCAATATTTTTTATCAGTCAATGAAGGTCCATATATATATATATATATATATAAAATATTGAATTCTCGAGAATATATATATATGAATTCGAGACAGAGAAATTTTGAGGCTCTTTTTCTATTAAGTAACCTATTTTTCTTTTATTAGAAAATTTTGAAATTTTTCTTTATTTTTTTTTACTCGTGATTGACTACAATTAATATTTAATTTAATGATAATATTATCCATCTATATAAAATATGTAACAACTTTTGATAATGATTAAAATTTTTAAAGTTTAAACAATTATCTACATTATCTATATTATTTATGTTAGTCGTAGTTTTTTTTTTTTATTCTGTGTGTTGATTAGCCAACTTAAATAATTAATTTTTTTCAATATAACATTTAATATATAATAATAAAACCTAATCTAACCATCCAATCTAATCCAGTTCTCTCGAAAGTAATTCACTATAAATTCATCACTCATCAACCTCCATGTTGATGTTCCAATGTTGTAATAATACGAATACTTTTTTAGAGTCTCACTAGACTTATCACAGGCATGGCACAAAGAGAAGAGTTTTAGGCTATTAGTTTGTTAAGTATTCTATTTTTCTTTTTTTACAAATTTTTAATTTTTAATTTGTTTTTCTCCTCTTTGATTGGATGGTATTTTTAAACAATTTGTTTTATCTAATAATTTATAGATAATTAAAATTTTGAATTTGTGATTAATGCTTTGAGATCCAACATGCCAAGTAATAATTCCTTCCAACTCTTGTCATTTATTTTTTGCACATCCAACTTTCCTTAAGTCTCAATAGTTTGTTCCTCATTTCAGGTGTGTATAAAATTTGCCCATCTAAAGAAGCATTTTAGGAGGAGGGTTACTGTAAACTAGGATTCGTCTTTTAACATCTTATGGTCCTTTATGCATATATAATTACTACTATTTCATCCTGCTGTAAATATATAATGTATTTGTTTTGTGTAATCCAAATATTTAGCTTTTTCTGCTCTCCTGCGTGTAGAGAATGGCAGAAATTTGAAACTTATTGCACCATTCTGTTTTCAAATGGTGAGGGATGTTGGGATGTCGGGATGCTGGAATGACTATGATAGGAGTTTAAAAGTATTGAGGATCTGGATACTTATGGTTGTATTCATATTGCACCATTTTTATAGTTATAGAGAATTTTCGAAGTCTTTTTTTTTTTTTCAGTGTATGGGTCATTTTGGCAAAAATTTATTTCTATCATGTTTTTCTTAAATTTGCTATGTTGTTTATATTTTAAGACGAATTGAGGATTTTAAGATAAAAAGGCAATGTTGCAGTGAATGATTGTGAAACAAACATAGATGTCCAAGTTCTAATGAGTGCGCAGAAATGCATACAAAGAGTAGAAAACATAATCAAATAGGCATTACGAGCTTCAAATAAATAATGTTCCAAATACCTTCTCTTGTTTTTTTTTTTTTTGAGCAATATATCCCGGATGCTTGAAGGATCGGAAAGGATCATCTGCATATTTTTCACATTTCTTGCTTTTATAATACAATTTTAGTATCATTCCAGCAACACCTTATGTGCCTATATCTGTATATAAATTCAATTCTTTTAAGGTAATTAAAAAGACCACCACCAAAAGAAAAAAAGAATCTCTAGCTATGTCATAGTCACATTAGCATCATCATCAACTAACTCCTACAGTGAAAATCAACACAAGCATCATCATCAACTAACTCCTACAGTGAAAATCAACACAAGTAACCATAGTCAGCCTATGGACAATTCTACTACTCCTATAACTTCCACTGTTCAACACAACCACAGTCTGAACAACTGTTCCCTATGGCAGTGTTGGAATGTGCTTATAGCCATGTCATGATCATCTATTATTTATTCTATTTGAAGTTAAATGTTTACAAGGACAAAAATAAAAAATAAAAAGGAAAAAAACTTATCAAATATTTTGATTTAAAAGCAATTACTATTTTCTTTAATTTCAAAACCATATTTATCAATTAATAATTTTTCCTGTTGTATCTACATATTTTGTTAAGATAACTTTTTTTTACGCTTGGAGCTGCCAACTAGAAAAGGGGATACATGGAAGCACAGGAGAATGTTTGCTAATATTATAACCAGTATTCCATATTGGGTTACAAATTAATTTATATTTATTTTATAAATTTAAAATAAAATTATAATCAATACCATTCTTTTTTATTCTATCTAATTTGAAAATTATATTTAAAAATAAATATAACAAGAAAATCATAATTTTTTTTTCAAAATTATATCTCTCATTTAAAATTTTTCTGTCACTTATCTATATATTTGAATTTGATAACTTATATTTTTTAAAATTTATTTTCAGATAACAAAAAAATCCTAATATATATATATGCTTTTTTATTTTTCTCACAAGATATCTATCTTTTAAGAATTATTAACTTCATTTATTTATATAATTTTATTTTGATTAATTTATTTTTTTTAAACATATTTAATATTAATAAAAATTAAAGATATAAACATATTTATTAATAATTAGATTTTAATTATTACTTCTAATAATACTAAAATTAAAAATTTATTCCTTCATCTACTTATACATTTTAATTGAATAATTTATTTATCTAAATTTATTTAAAACTAATAAAAATTAATAAATATTGACTTCTCTTTTCACAACTATATCTATATAGTAAAACTAAAAGTTACTTCCTCATTTATCTATATATTTTTAAAGGATAATTTATTTTTTAAAACTAATAAAAAAAAATTCCCAGGTCATCATGTAATAAAATATTAAGAAAAATTTTCAGGGGTGAATTGAGAGTTGAATCTTAGTTAGGCATGACCAAAATCCGGTTTTCATAATTAAAACCATCTGTTCAGAAACAGTTAAAGTTGGAATTGGAACCGAAACTGGAGAGTTGCAGTCCAATTTTGATTTTAAGTTTTGTGGAACCGTAAACTTTATGGTTCTAAGAACCGGAAGTTCTTTCGACCGATTAGAATAAACGGTTCCAACTGTTCATAATACATTTGCCACAATAGGTTTTCTACTTTAGTAACTATTTTTAAAACTAAGAGAAGGGAAGGGGAAGAGTGAATTGGAAGATATTGACATTGTTCTGTTGGGAAAGTAAAAAATTAATGAAGGGAAGGAAGGAGAAGAGTGAATTGGAAGATATTGACATTGTTCTGTTGGGAAAGTAAAAAATTAATGAAGGGAAGGAAGGAGAAATAATTTTATTTTGTTCGGCTGAGGAGAAGGGGAATTTTAGTTATAAAAATACAATTATTTCCTTTGATAGGAGTTGAATTTGTCTACAAACTTCTGGAAATAAGTAAAATCCCAAGATAAATGATTTTCTCTTTCATTCTATTTGTTTCCCCTCTATTCTCCTCCATTTTACGCCCAGTCTAGATAAGATTGTATGCCACTCGTTTTGACAACCAGCTTGTCCTCTTGAGTTCCACGTGACAAAGAAGAGAATCCTGGCGACCATGGCTCAATATATGCAGGATCAGTGCTTGGAAACGAAGCTGAAGCACTGCCATTTCCATTTTCCAGATTAACATTCTCTTCGCTTGCATGCCTAACAAATTCCTCGGGAGACATGTGGGAACCATGGCAAGCGCACACAATTTTGATTTGAGTTTCACTGTATCCATACGTTACACCATAAATTGTTCTTCCCTTTGGACCAGAACCTTTAGTTGAAACCCATGGTAAGTTTGGGCAACCACTTCCAAAAATCTCTGGGGGCTCTGAAGAAGTGATGTAGGGATGAGCAAATGTGAAGTCTTTACTATCATCTTTATGAGCAACTTTATCCCTTTGATCAACAATAAACTTGAGAGATTCATCCTCCATTTCAGCCTGCAATTCAAGATCATTATTATCCCCTAAATGATTCGCTGGAGATGTCAGAGTGCCTTTGTTGTCATTAGTTCCAAACAGCATTAGTGGAGGCTTTGAAGAACTACTGTGCGAATGGGCTTTTGAGTTTTCAGAATTGGCAAGCATGGGTTGGCGTTGGCCATTAATATTGCTAGTCTTGCTGGGATTTGCGTGCATTTGGGTTCCATCTTTACTTGTGTCTCTCAACAACAATAATAGTGGAACATAAGATGAAGAATTGCTGTTCTGCTGCAAAATAAACAACAGTATGTCAAACTGATGCTAATACCTTTTCTTTTCTATGTTTGATGTGCAAATTTTTATTTGTAGTTCATTGATTTATAAGTCTAAATTCTTCCAAAGCAATGACCCTCTGAACTCTTATTTGGTTAAATGACTTTAAGATGTAAAATTAATTTATAAAAATGGGGTTTGGTGTAATTTGTTCAATTTCACAAAACTAAATTTATTTGATTGAAATAAACATTTTCATTATTCATGCCCAAGCATGAAATTAAAGTATAACATTCTAAACCA